TACCAGCACTGCTTCCAGGCAGAGCATTATATGATGTTGGAAAGACAACCTTGCTACTAAGTTGCTTGGGATTTGGGGGATGCTCACAATCATTATTCTCCTTCTAGGGAGAGCGGTCCTTTAACTGCTGGCTTTTTTGTTCCACTGAGTGGCATGTGCAAGCTGGGGTGCTGCCACCAGTGGGTTCTTCCTTTTTCCACCCATGCTCCTCATAAAGTTCAGCCTCTCCTCCAAATAAATGTTGAGTAAATTGTCAACGAATTTGTAAGTGTTGCCGAATTATGAACCTGCCCAGGAAGCCCACAGCTCTTGGTCTAGCCCTGAGACTGGTATTACTCTGTAACAAGGACAGTCAAGAATCCTTGTTCTTGCTTAGAAATAGTTTTACAGAGGAAGAGCCCAGATTTTGAAGCTAGGCAGATGAAGGTTTCAGTCTTGTCTCAGTCTCCTGTTAGCTATGTAGAGCCCTTGCTAAATCTTATCTCCCTCAGCTATTGAAACAGGAACATTGACTCTGTATTCAAGTTGGCTAAAATATTAGGTTGAGAGAGAACTATGGGAAACAGAATCTTTCTGTTTCAGAATTTGGCTTCCAAATCTAGAGGTGGTGCTGGAACCATCTCTAGGTTTGCCCTTCTCCTTGGGTCCCACGTGGAGCACTTACAGAGATCTTTGACACAAGCATACTGCTGGTTGCTGTAGAGTGGGGAGCTATAGGCCCGACGGAAACCAGGCGGCTGTAGGGTGGGATGGAAGAAAGCATTAGAGGCAGCAGGGTATGGCCCAGAACCCCATCTCTCCTGTGAGTGCAGCCCCTTCTTAGAGTAAGGGATGGACTGAGAAAGAAAAAACAGGGAAATGGAAGTGATGACTTGGGAGGGACTGGAAGGGGGGGGGGGGGGGGAGCTGGCAACACGTCCCCTCCCTTCTACTTTCTCGCTCCCCAGAGCCTACTCACGATCTTGCCGAAGCATCTCTGCATCTCCACATAGGACTGACAGTGTTCATGGATGTTAGTTTTGCAGTTCTTACAGCGGAGCCCAAATTTGTTGTTGACTTGGGAGAGGGAAGAACGTTTGGGTGAGGTTCTTGATTTCCCCTTCCCTTTGTACCAGTGCTGCTACTCTAGCTCTCAGGTCCCTTTTCCGTCTAGGACCCAACACTCTCAGTTTCTAATAGTGTTGTTTTTATTTTTTAAAGATTATTTATTTGAGAGAGAGAGAGAGAGTGTGCAGGCAGGGAAGTAACAGAGGGAGAGGGACAAGCAGATTCCCTGCTGAACTGGGAGCTCCCCATGGGCTCAAACTCAAGACACTGAGATTTCGACCTGAGCTGAAATCAAGAGTCGGATACTGACTGAGCCCCCCAGGCACCCCTCTAATAGTGTTTTCTTAAAGCCACTTCTTGCCCCAGCCTGCCTGCTATACAAATGCTCCTCTCCTGAGCCCGTTCCCCCGCTGCCTCCTCCCTTCAACATCACTCTCTCTCCACTTCCCTTCGTGACTCACGCACAATCATCCGGGCACAGACATCACAGAACTTGGGCTTCTTGAAGAAATGATCTTTGAATTTGTGAGGCTTGTCATTGACAAGCTTGGGAGGTTCTGGGGGTGGTTCCTCCTCTTCCTCCTCTTCTTCCTCCTCTTCCTCATAGATGTAGTAGATGGGCCCACCCCCAGCTCCCACTGCCTCCCCATTGGCCTGGGGCTCTGGGGGAAGCTCCATCTCCTTTGTCCCCGGAGGTTCCTTCCTGAATAACTGCTTCAGCCGCTGTAGCTGAGGGTGGGAATGGGGGAGGGGAGGGGAGGAAACCCAAAGTTAAAAGAACTGTCATGCTCTCTACAGCAGGTAAGGCTGAAGCTAACTAAACATTTTCTAGCGTGGGCAAGGGGCACACCCCAGGATTAGGAGGTATTGGGGGCTGCAGGTGCTGGCTAGCATTCTGACGATGGATGAGTCACATACAAGTGAGATCAATTCAAACATTCAAGGGCTGCGGTGGCTTCCCAGCTCCCCACACCAGGTGATCACAGGCCCAGACTCACCCCACTTTGCCGAGTCTCTGCTGGCAAGGAGGGCTTAGGAGACTCCAGCACCTCCTTTTCTGTCATCCTGCAAGAGGTTGGACCCCACTATGAAATCTAATCCCTGACTGCCATTCTTCCCTGTCCCTGTCCTAATTCCTGTCCCTCACTGTAGGGTGGTCCTTGAATGGGTGACTTTGGGAGAAACTTGGTTAAACAGAAATCCTTTCACAGGCTTATCGACAGAAAGATTCCATGGAGGTCCAGAGAAAAAAGCAACAGACCAAAGAACTTCCCAACCGGTTCCTCAAACTGATACACATCCTTCCCCGTCCTACAGGGCCACCCGAGTTTCCAGCCCCAACACAGTGCTCAGAGCTGCATGGTTTAGGGATTTTCCCTGGTTTATTTCTCCTGGGAATCTGTGGGCAAGAGAGATGTGACACACATCTTCCCAGATCCCCTTTCTTCAAGAGGTTTAATGTGTGTGTCCAAGAGCATGCTTGGAGGGATGGGCTGGGGCATTTGTTCACCCCAGCCCCTTTCTTGAGTCCGGGGGGCCCGGGGCCTAGTTCCCAGCCTGCTTCAGTCCTCAGCTATTTTAAGTTTTCAGAGTAATATGAGCCTTTCCTTCCCTTACTACTCCATTCCCTTGACCCCCCCCCCACCCCACCCTCCAATCCTAGCTCTTGTCCTGGAGTCATAATTTCACTCCTAAAACCCTAACTACTCACAGGCAAGAGAGGAACGAAGACACTGAATAGGCTACAGATTGGGGAAGCTGCGGGGAGCAGTTCTGGCAATGGACAGAGGATGAAGAGGCAACTTACGTTTGGGATTCCCTAAGTCAGTCCACAGTCTGTGGAGGGAAGAGGGAGCCCCTGGGGTCTTGATGGTGGTGCTGGGGGAGGACTGGTCCTCTTCCTTGGGGGCTAAGCCCCCCCAGTACCCTCTGTACTCACACCGGCTACCCAGACGTTATTTGTAGACCTCCCAGTCTCTTGCCTTGGTGTCAGAGCTGAAATGACAGGGCTGGAGGAAAGTGGACAGCTGAGCGACACAGCTGACACAGAGAAATTGGACACGGGGAGGTCTGGGCTGGGCTGGACCCTAACTCCTCCCATCCCCCAGAGCTGCTATGCCCTGGTTTTTTATCTATGGTGTACAGGTCAGTTCTAGCTAAATTCAAGAAGGGACAGTGTCTGTTCATGCTGCATACTCATTTAGGTGATTTTGGATGACTGAAGGTAAAGATGAAATTGTAAACAGCTTTCTCCACAGTCCAAACACCTCTCCAATTCTACCTTCCCTGAACCTACTTAAGGAACTAGCTTTTGATTTTTCAGCCATTGTCTTTCCTGCGGCCATGTGTTTTTACACCCTCAAACATTGATCTACCTCTACCTCAGACCTTTAGGAAGGAAAGGGCTAGGAACTGGTGAGGAAAGGAGAATTTCAGTTCTCAGAGGCTTCCTACCAGCCAGACTAGATAGCATCCTTATCCATGGGTAGTTGGAGGGGTACCTCGCTGCCATCCTGAAAGGGAGTCAAGAACATGCCGAGTACTGCTTTATTCCCTCCAGTGCCCCCAGGAACATCCCCCCACCCCCCTTCTAAAATCTTGTCCTCAGGGTGAAAGGAAATCTAAGAGCTACTGAAAAAATCCAGGCTGGGACTTCTGTCTGAGGGACTCTGGGGTAGGGTAGAGATGATCTCATTCCCACTGGACAGAAGACAATAGCTACCACACGGCAGGGGGCGGGGGTTATCTTCTCTAAATAACATCTGCCTCCCCACGAGGCCTGCAAACTTCTGGAGGTAAGAGAGTCAAGCCCCACACTTCCGAAATCGTTGGGATTCCCTGATTCTGTCTCCCTCATCCGATGCCCCAGCATATGAACTTATGGGTCAGTGAGGTATCTGGCATGGTTATCTCGCAGGGATGCAGCCTTCTACTCTGGGCTGTGACATGGCTGAAAGAGAAGATACTCCCATCTCGGAGGACAGCCATTTGGATGTGGTCATGTAGTGCTGCTTTATCCCTTGTATCTGTAAGTAAAGGATTACGTTGGAGGTTGGGTCAGACAAGCCTCAGAGGAGCCTGGCTAGAGATACTGCTACCCAAACCCGAGAGATTTCCAGGGTAATGTGCTTTGTCATTTCTGTCACTACTCTTTTACTTTCTTTAAGGGGTGGGTGAGATTGAATAGGGGCTGCTGGATGGCTCTTAATGGCCCCGGTCTGATAGGCTGCACAACAGGGCTAGCTTTGAGAAGCTGCAGAGAGAGGAAAAGCTCCGTCCGTGCGGGGTAGGGAATGTCTGCTTTTCACCTTTCTTCAGTTGCATAGGACAAAGACTGCTGAGCATGCCTGGATAATATGGCATCTTGGCACTGCAAGTTCAATTGATGTAGCTTTTATTATAAAAACATCCACTTCTGTTCTGCCACGCAACACCCAATGGCTTTTGTAGTAAAGACGGGCCCAAGTCCTCCAGCCCTGAAACATTTTCAGAAGATCGGATTCTGGACACGTATGAGGCCACCATCTCAACCCAGTTTTGGACCTCACTCACCCCCAGACAGCCATGAGGACCCTAAATGAGTATCACAGAATTAACATAGTGAAAGGAACCTCAGAGGTGAGCTAGTTAGTCCAAGTCTCTTATTTTACTAATAAGGACTCAGAGGTCTGGAGTTGAAAACGGATGTGCTTGATGAAACCACACTTACTGGGAGTTGGGAGTTGGGAGAGCCCAGAACAAAGGTCCCACTGGAGACCCAGCCACCTGTCTGAATATTATGCCCAGGGAGGAGAATGGGATGAGGGAATAGTGTTAGGAAGGTATGTGTGCATATGCTAGGGAAAGCCATCCCAACCCACATGAGATCCCTTCAACAGCTGTGGGACTGTACCTACCCAGGACCTCCAACCCCCACCCATACCAGGGCAGCAACAGAGAAACAGGGACTGACGTCCAGTGACAGATTTTTTTTTTTATATTTAAAAACAAAATCAACCTCCCCCCAAGTAACCCCCAAACAAACAAAAAATCAGATTAAATAAAATTTACAGTGAATATACCCAGCAAACATCTGTATGTGCAATTAAATACTGTCTGTTACTGCCGCACGAACCTCAAACAAACAATATACAAGTGTTCTGGGACGTGGGGGGAGGCCCAAGTTTTCACTCTTTGGGGTTTGGGGAGACAAGATGGGAGAAGTGAGAGAAAGGGGAAATCAATTTTGCTTTTCTTAATTCTGTCCATATAAATATATTCATAAAGACTAGAAATGAAAAGGGAGCTTGGGATGGTAAGGAGATCGAAGAGGGGAGTGTGGGACCCTCCCAATTCTACCTGACCAAAAAAATATGAAAAAAATTAATTTCATGGTGGGAGAAGAGATAAAAAATAACAGAAGAGGATGGGAAGGAGAGGGAAGCAAGGGGGGCCAACCAGGGGAAAAAGAGGGGACCCGTGGCAGGGGAGCGAGGAGGAGTCCAGTGCCAGTGTGTCTGTTCCATCTTCATCCCCACTGTCTCAGGCTCCAGTTCAGTGTCTGTCACCTTCCTTTCTGCCTCTGTCCGTGATCTGTCAGGATCCCTCGACCCCCTCCACCCTGCCCCCACCCCTACTGTGCCAGTCCCTTCCCCTCCTCCGTTTATTGGGAGCTGGCTCGCTCCAGGATCCTCAGGTCATAGTTCTTTTTGGCCACTCGAAGTTTGAAGCGACTCACAGAGTTGTTGAGGCGAAGAGAGGCATTCTGGGCAGCCAGGGGGCTGGGAAACACAGCCACGATGGTGTACAAGGCAGCGAGGTCCGCATGGCGGCCGTTCTCAGCAGTCCCACCGTTGTCCCCCCCGCCCCCGCCAGGCAGCCCCTGAGCATCCTTGAGCCATTGGATCTTGGCGCCAGACATGGCAAGCTGAGTGAAGAGTTTGTCCGCCTCGGTCCGAGTGATGCCCTCAGGGAGATCTGTCACCTCCAGCACCCGGCCCAGGACTGGAAGGGGAGGAGAGAGGACATGGTTGTGAGAGGACTAGCAAGCGGCCAGCAGAGAAGTCTGCAGCTGACCCAAGTCTATAGACGGCGTCCTCAAAAGCCTGGCCTTGCCCACTTGGCCCATTCCTCCTTCCCCAAATCAATGCAACACCCCACCATCTAGGCAGCTAGGAGAAACAAAAAAAAAACTTTTTCTTCTCTTAGACCAAGAAGAAACTGGGGGTCAGAATCCCAGATTTCTTCAGATCTGGAGACCTACACTCAGTTCTTGTGCCAAGTCAGTAGCCCAATCTGAAATATATCCCACAGTCGTCCCCTTCCCAGAGGTCCCTCTTCCTTCTCATCTAGGGAAGTCCATTTCCCTGACTTTCCTTGTTTAGCAAACCACTCCAGGTGAGGGTAACCTAAGAGATCTTGTATGCTTAGAGGGGAAGGCCTGCAGGGGGGTTACTCCCCCATATTCTCTTGTAGAGCTTCTCCTAAAGGACTAGGAAGACTACCAAGGCCGACATCCTAGATTAGGGTCAGGACCACTCTCTTAAGACTCTCCTGTTAATGGGCTCAGCAACCCCTGCCACTGTGTTATACTCAGTTTTCCCCATCACCTTTCCCAGGACCTGAAATGGCCTGAGAAGGAGGACTGAGACGCTTCAATTCTCCAGTTTCTCCTTGCTCTTGAGTACAGAAGGGTCCTATTTCTACTCCCCACCCTAAGCTGGCTTTTCCCACTCCTCCTGGGCTGGTAATGCAGGCTGGAGGGGTGAGCACCTTCTCTTGGGGATTCAGCATTCTGTCACTCACCGACATCTGTTGTCCCCAGGTCAGTGGAGGCAGATTTGAGTGCTTGTCTCTTGCTCCGGTTTCCATGCTTCAATCCACTCTGTCCCTTCAACATTTGAAAGATAACTCTCATCCCAGGTAAACAACATTGACTGCCTTGCATCCTAATGTCTGTCTGAAAGATTAAGGAGCAGCACCCAACCCTGAGGATCCTGCCCCACCAGGCAGGCAGACTGGCCAGAGTGGCCACTGAGAAACAGAGTCCTTCCCCCTTGGCACTGGGGTCAGGTGGGAAGAATGAGTATGGGAGAGGGGTAAGGCCCCTCCCACTTTGTTCATTCTCACTGTGCTATCTCCCCTGTCCACCCCACTGGTTGAGGTGGATGGCTCAGAGATAGGGGCCTGGATGAGAAGAGGGGTCTGTTGGTGGGCACCCTTACCTGGTGTACCGTGTAAGTCGACTGGCCATGGAGCAAGGGAGGGCAGATAGACAGATTGTACTGTAATGGCTGGCCCAAGAGGGAGTAGCGCCCATCACCTAGGGAGGAAGAACAGATGGTTTTCTGGGAGTTAGAACTTCATGATATGACTTTTATGGGGGCTCTGGAGATAGATGACAACAATGCATACTTTTCCCACTTTTTCTATGATAGGAGTGTCCATGTGACTGATTGAAAAGTTGTCTCTCTTCCTAAACCCCTTGGCTCTCAGCCTAAGTATCTCAGGCAAATGGGGCTTTTAGGTTCCCTCACCCTTGAAGAAGGGCTCTGTCCACTGCAGATGAAAGGCCCTGGAGGAAACCTACAGATGCTTATGAATGTTTTTCATTCATTCATTTCCTTCCTTCCTTCCTTCCCTCCTTCCCTCCCTCCCTCTCTCTCTTTCTTTTTAAGTAATCTGTATGCCCAACATGGAGCTTGAGCTCACAACCCTGAGATCAAGAGTCACATGCTCTACCGACTGAGCCAGCCTGGTTCCCCTAATTTCTTATATAGATTCTCCTACCCCAAACCCAGGGCTCAAATTTTGAACTCCTGTTGAGTGGCAATACAGTGAGTGGATAAGAGCACAGGCTTAGAGCCAAACAGCCTAGGTTCAAATCCTGGCTCTGTTACTGGAAATGAGAGGTTGGGTACATTTTCTCTTCATCAGTGTTGAAGGTTGAGTGAATACAAGACACACAAAGCACTTATAGTAATGCTCTGTACACAGTAAGCACCATAAATGTTACTTTATTGTTGATAAATGTTAGATTTCAGAGCACTTTAAAGTTTTTAAACCATATTCTCATCTGATTTTTAATACTGCTTGTGACAGCCAAGGCAGAAACAGATAAGATTATTTCCATCTTATATGTGATTAATCCCATTTTATAGATTAGGACTGAGGCCTGGTTCCAAGGTTAAGTAACATGCTCAACATCACAAAGCTAATTAGTGGTAGAACATGAACTTGAACCCAAGTCTTTCAATCCAACTCCAGTGTTCTCTCTTCTAAAACTACAGTGTTTCTGACACAGCCCCATAGTCTCAGCCCTCAGACTCAGTCCTGATGAGTTAAACTCTTAGGTTCGTTAGAAAGTTTCTTTTCTGGGCTCATAGTCCCCTACCTTGTAGACTTGGTAGTAAATACTAAATATGTAAAGGAGGTCTGCAGTAAGCTGACTATGGGCAGCACTAAAGAGGGGCAGGTGTCCTTGACCTAAACAGGGATATTAAAGGAAGAGTTGGCTCCAAGAGCTGGATGACCAGCCACACTGGTTTCCTGCCGGTTGCTACCATCTGGATCTTTGCACTTGGGAATGGGCTGTGAAGGGCAGCAGCCAGCTCTAATCTAACCCCTTACCCTGTGCTGGACCCCCAGGCCTGGGGAACTGTGTGAGGACAGGAAGGGGACTGAGTCCTGTGCAGACACTGCTGAGGCTGGTGACAGGAGAGGGTGCTGGAGACTGGGTAGGAGATGTGACGGGGCTGCTGCTCATCTGAGTGTTGGCCTGTTGGAGAGAGGAGCACACATCATATGTACACCAAACATGACCCTCTGGATATTCCTATGGCTTGGCTTAAAATTCACCTCGCTCAGAAAACTTCTCTTGCAGAACTCTGTCAAAGTTGGACTGCTCCTTCCAACAGCCCCCTTAGTCCCTAATTAATTTGTATTAATTAATGTATTTAGTTAAAAGATTTACTTTAGAGAGAGACAGAGTGAGCGGGGGGTGGGGGTGGGGAGGAGCAGAGGGAGAAGGACAGGGAGAGAAGTTTAGAATCTCAAGGCAGACTCCCTGCTGAGCTCAGAGCCCCACGATCCTGAGATCATGACCTGAGCCCAAATCAAGAGTCAGACGCTTAATGGACTGAGTCACCCAGGTGCCCCAATTTGTATTATTTTAACATCCACTTTTTGACATAGTGTTTTAAGTATTCTCTTGGCATTTCCAAGTATGTGTCCCTTAGATCTTAGGTTCCTTGAAAGCAGATACTCTCCTCTATTTCTTATGATTCCCCCCTGAAGAGTGCCCATGGAAAGACAAGTAGAAGAGGCTGCTCAGTCAATGGCAAAGATTATTTCCCGAGAAAAATCTGGTCTCCTCCTTGCCAAGATAATGTTGGGCTGCAGGACTCACCTGGGGGCTACTGTCCGGATTGTATAGGTCTCCAGGTTTCTGCCCACGCTGGTCCATGCTGTAATATTTACAGTGACTCCACTGGACCATGGATGGGTTCTGGGGGGGCTGGGGTCCATTAGGGACATTCAGCTGCATGACCACCACACCTGGTCCAGAAGGTGACACTCCTGAGTGGCAGGAAGAAAGGGATTAGTTGTGAATTTAGACTATATTTTGACCTTCCAACTAACCCTGAGTGTGAAAGCCAGTAAGCAATCTACCCACTCGCCTCAGGGTCACTTAAACTGTGTCTTGCCAGGAATCTGAGATAGTTGCTGATTTAGTGTTCGACTCCCCTCTCCCCAAACCAAGTGAAAGTTTGAGTGGAAGAGACATGGGTCCCAGATGCCAATGCTCTTGTGGCCTTGACCTGGTAAGGGGTGCCTCATATGCTTGGCAGAAAACTACTCCATTTGTCAAAATCCGATATTACCAAATGCCCAGGTCAGATTGCTTAACTGTCTGGGCATGGTACAAGTCCCAGCCTGGGGCTTGGGCCAGGGCCATAGGCACGTGCAGGCTTTTCTGGTAATGGCTGCAGATAGGTCAGCGATCTCTGGTTGCTCTGGAGATGAATGCACACAGCTTCCCTAAGCCAGGCCAGGAAGCACTTGAATTGGGAATGGCACAGAGCTGTATGTCACATTCAGGAAATGACAAATAATTCAAGGTGCTGAGGCACAGGGGTTGTGTAGGGGAAGTGGGAGATATGTTCATTCATTTAGTCAACATTTATTGAACATTTACTAGGTGCCAGTTCCTATGCTGGGCACTGGGTGTACAACAAACAAAAGTGGTCCTTGCCCTTACGGGATGGACAGTCTATCAGGGAGTCACACATTAGGACAGTCTATCAGGGAGTCACACATTAAGCAAACAGCTGGTGTCAGAGTTTGAAGCACGTTCTTGTAAGGGCCTTTATCCTGTAGGTGTTGGGAACAGAACTTCAGAGAGCTAATTCAAGTGGCCAGATGTAAAATGGCTGAAGAGAGGGAGGGACCGGAGGCAGAAACACGAATTGGAAAGCCACAGAAAAAAGAATGAGGAGGTTATGAATTAGAGCCATGATGGCGGGAATCGAGTGGGAGGGTCAGACTCTCTGAAGGTTTCGCTGACAGGTTCAGGTGACTGATGTGAGCCTGAGGTTTTAGCACAAACAACCATGGGTAGCCTTACCCTCTCATAGGCTGGGGGAAGTGAAGAGCTCAATGTGGAAGAACATTAAGTCCTGAATCTTCCTCATGGTGAAAGGCAAGGTAAGGGATCAGGGAAAAGCAGTCTGAACGACAGTCCCCGCTGGGAGGGATGGACAGGAGCTCTGCTTCCCCACGGGGACTGTCCAGCCTGAGCGTTTGCTCCTGACCTCTCAGGCTAGATCTCCGTTGAGGGACAGGCTGAGTCCGTGTGTGTGTGTGGCGGGAGAGAAACGGGACTGGGGGTGGCTAGTGCGAAAACCTGCCGCAGTGCTGCCGTTGTCACGGCTCGGTGCTCTGAGGTTACCACTGGCTGCCGCCGTCACACTGCTTCCTGGGACGGGAAATGCTGCAGCTTCTGCCCTGGGCACCGGTCATGCTGGGAAGTGAGCATGACTGCTTTTCTCAGGTAGCACCGGTCAAAGGGAAGGAAAAGCAGCAGCAGGAGGCCTCAGAGGGCAGCTTGGGAGACACAGCATCTGTCGTACCCTATTCTCCAGTCAATTTGTGGCCCCCACCCTCTGGGGTCCATCTAATCAGAGAACACAAATACTCAGAGCGACAGGCTCGCCTCTCCCCATCCTCTGCCATAGGGGACAGGGTATTCGTCAGCACGGCTTGTGGAAGGGCCACCAGAAAATCGAATAGCTGTGGAGTGTCATACATTTAACAACTCCCCCCTTACTAGAGCTGCTCTGGGCATTTTCTTTCCCCATCCAAAGAGCCCCACCTGCTCCAACATCCTCTTCCAACAAAATTGCAATTGACCTTATTCAAACACCTCATTGCTACCTGAGGGGGCCAACGCAAAAATAATCAAATCTACAGCTTTCTAGAAGGCAGCTCATAATCTGAGCCTAGTGCCTCAGGCCAGGAAAGGATCGGGGGGGGGACATGTGAGTGTGTAGAGTGTGGGCATAAGGAAAACGGTGGAAGCTCTTTCTAATACCAACATGTAGCCATAAGGAGCTATTAGAGGGCTCAAGGGGAGGGGGAAAGAGAACAAAGTCCTCATATTATTTTCTCTGATCCTGACAAAAACAAAGCCAGGGTTTTCAATCCCAGCCTTGGTCCTCCCCACACTGAGCCCTCCCCCCTGGCCTGGCGCATTGTTCCTTCACTCAGCTGGGACACAGAGCACTATGCTGATGAGCTGATTTTTATGCTTCTCTTCCTCAAGCCAAAAGCAGGTGGCATCCGTTAACAGCTAAACTGTCACTACTTCTTAATGGACATGGCAATAAAAAAAAAAAAGAAAGAAAGAAAAGAGGAGAGAAGAGAAAAACCACCCCACTACCCAGGGACAGCACTTCCATATAATCAGGTTGGGGAAAGGGGCCTGGGTTGAAGTGGGAAGGGGGAGAGGAGGGTTGAATAAGGAAATCAATTTCAGCCTGAAAGCTCTGAAAGGAGAGGGGACGTGTGAATGGCTTTTTAAGTGGCATCATTAAACCTGGGCAGAAAGGTCGATTGGGCAGAGCAAACCGCATAAATACAAACAGATGACATTTATGTCTAGCAGAATTGGTTTTTGTTTAGGTTTTTTTTATTTTTAAATCACTAAGGTAGAAGACTGATAAGGCTTCTTCCTTACCACCAGGAATCCAATCTATGGAAAGGAATGTCCAGAGAAATAATATCAACAGCCATCTTTCCTATATTACAGGATACAATCCAACAGTATCTTAGTGTTTTTCCCCTTTTTTGGTGAAGGAAAGAAGTATCCTTACAGAGTGGGAGAGAAAAGTGTTCGTTTCAGCTTTGAAATCCCCTCAGCTACAAAATGAGCCAGTAAGTGTGAGAGGCTATTTCTGTATATACCTCACTCTGGCCATGGTGCTGTGTCACAGTGAGTTGGGAGTCTGTGTATATGTATCACTGACATTTCACGTCTGTGTGCATCTTCCCCAGACAAGCGCTTCTGGAGTAACCTCAAGGGACCCGTGGGCCATCATTTTAGTGGGAAGAAAAGTGTTTCCTGGGGTTATAGTGCTGTCTAATACCACAATGGAGGAATTTAGGTCTAGGCCTAGGGGTAAACTGGACAACTACAAAAATGTATTAATAAGCCAGAACAGTTGTTCCAGGAACAGCCAATCTTAATCCCTGCCTTTATTTTTGGAAAAGTGACCATGTTGCTACATGGAAGAAGGGCGGGTGACTGTCCTCTGAAGGTGACATAGCAGCCCTTGTGGGCTATGCTGGCTTTCTCTCTTCCCAATAAAGGGCAAACTGGAAAGGAAGAAGCAGCACTTGTTTTTTTCCTTCCAGCTCCTCTTATATTCCCATGAGCAGAGACTGAAGACTTTTAAAATCAATGATATGGTGAATACGGTCTCTTAGGTGACACAGCTGGAACATAGGGTCCCATCACCTAGGAAGAGTACAAGGGATCAGTCAGAGAAGTCTAGAATCAATCAATCAGGGAAGCTTGAAAGAAAAGACATATAACAGGAAATTCCAAAGAAGTAAGGGAACTAGATGATGAAGAGGGCTTCCTCCATTACTATTGATTTGGGAGGAGCACAGATGACCTCCTTCTAATCCCAGGCCAGACCTCCAGTGCTGCCAACGTTCAGAACAACAGCTGTTCCAGTTTGCTTAACCTAGCACTAAGTCCAGAGTAGGTAGTGAAAAATTCTTCTCACTTGCTTTGTTTCTAAGACCTTGTACTTGAAGATGAAGCGATACAACCACAGAGACCCAATACATACACTGAGATACCACTAAGGATTCACATAAAAATGCACATACAAGTATACCCACATGTATATGCACACACTTGTTTTAACAAACAAGAGAAAAAATGCCCTGCAGGAGCAAGAACCACCAGAGGCTACAATGGTTCTTGGAGCTGGTTTCTACAATTTCCATATCCCGCTGGGAATTTCAAGGTCAAGTGCCCCTGGCGGACACTAGGAGAAACAGCTAGAGAGACCAGTAATGTAATAAAGGGTAAAGGCTGTTGAATTTAAAACCTCTCAGCCTGTGAGAGAGGCATGTTTGGTCTAGATGAAGGGAGAAGTCATTGCTCCTTGAAGGTAAGAACTGATCATGTCTTATGAGCAAGATTAATTCTGGAATCCATTCCACAGCATCTAACACAGAGTGCAAAAACTCCTAGGTGAAAATCTTATTTCTAAAATGGGGAAAACTGTCAAAATATTTCCCTCTCACCAGAAGAGGGCACTCTGATATTCCCACAACAGAGGGAAATGGGGATGGCTGGAGACTGCATTAAGACGTCCCCCACTGGAGAACCCCCCCGAAGTTGCTTTAGCTGCAGTGTAATGCTGTGCCAGGGTGAGGTGAAAGGGCAACAAACAAGGGTAGCTGTACTTGGTGTGTTGGGAGAATTTGCCAGGAATTTGGCAAAGGCAGAAAGTGAGAGACTGCATGGCATCAGCCTATTCATGGGACAGCTGCCCCTTCAAAGAAAGCCTTTAGCTACTGAACATGATAGCCATTTATTTCCCACTGGAGGGAAAGGAACAGAGTACAGAGACTTGTTGGTAGTGTGATATTGAGGGTGCAGGATGGGTTATGAAAAGGCAAAAGACCCAAGTTCAAGGTCTAGGATCGTGACCTCAGGCAAGTCATTTATCCTCTTTGAGTCTTATATCTTGTTTTCACAGAGTTGTGCTGAGAATTAAAATGACACAATGTATGTGAGTACATATGAAAAACTGCCAAACAAATCTAAGATATGACTTAAAAAGCATTTTATCAGCCTCCCTCACACTCCCAACAGAAAAGTAAAGCTGTCTATAGGAAGAATGAGTACTGGAGACAGAGGTAAGCACTTCATGTCTCAAAGGCATGTGAGTGGTGAGTGTAATGCTAGATACAGGGAGGAAAAAAAAAATAAGAAAGAAAGAAAACAAGGAACCCAATCAAGGATGTGGCTTCCCAGGGATGGAGATAGGCCAACCAGCCTCACCTCTCAACAGGTCAACTTCAGCACCCCTGGAAAACACCAGTCAGAACTCTGGTCTTTCCTTGTGGTGGTGTTACAGCTGGGGACAGAGCCAATCCCTGAACTCTCTTGTCGTTCCCAGCTCTAGAGCACAAATCCTTCAGCAGTGTTTGCTCTTACTGGTACCCAACACCTCCCAATTCTTTATCCTCTTACCTGAGTACTGCTGTGGCATCTGTGGTGGACTGCAGGGAGAGGGAGACTGAGGCATCTGGTACTGCTCAGAGCCGGGAGGTTGCAGAAACCCCACAGAAGGGCTGGGGGATGGAGAAGAGTAGTGTTAAAGTGGGAGAGGGAGGAGCACAGCTCCTGGCAAACAGCTGCTGCTTGCCGGGCCTCCCCGTGGGAAGCAGAGGCAGCAGCCAGTCATTCCCAGACCAATTTGCCATGCAATTTCTAAAATCACTCATCAGTTCAAAGTTAATTATATATATTTGTACTTGATCATCTTTCAATTAGGAAGCTGCTAATCAGTGCTACAGATGGAATGTTAGTGACACAGGCTCATCCCAACAGTGTGGAAACACCAGACACATACACATGAGTGCGTGCGCGCGCGCACACACACACACACACACACACACACACACACACACACACACTGAGAAACACGAAGTGCCAGAAACAGGCACACAGTGCCAGAGAGAGATGGGTAAAACAGAACTAAGGAGATGTCTGATTTAGGATATTTACACAATGGCAAACAGAGTTACCTAAAGACAAAGGGGGAATCCCCCCGCAATACTCAAGATAACATGGAGACATACACACAAAAAGAGAAGTAAACATACATACTGCAAGCAACACAGAAATACATACAAGTAGGCCCAGAGTTGACTTCTAGTTCCAGCTCTACTTCTAACTAGCTGGTTGACTTTGAGTAAGTTTCTTAATCTCCCTAGCTGGAATTTTCTCATTTATAAGAGGGAGAAAAATAAAACAAGGGAAGTGGACTAAATACTTCTAAGGTGGCTTCTACCTCTAAAATTCTATCAGCTATGACATATACTAATATATATATATATATATATATATATATAGACATACAGAAATAGACCATCTGAGATTCATCCATGGATATAAACAGGTACATAGAAAAATTTACATATATGTGTATATATATATATATATTGCTTCTTTTAATGATGAGCAGTCTCTAGCCCATAATTCTAAATCCCACTGATAAGAAAAACAAAACACTGGGGACATCATAAAGCCTCTGTCTCTAGAGTAAGAATTTTTTTCTGCTGATGAGCTCTTATTCAAATGTCAAAACAACAAGGAGAAAAGAAGAATGAACTCCCTCACATTCTACCTGCTTTAGGGCACCACTGGAATCTTTACCCCTGCCTTTCTTTCCTTAGGTCAGTGGAAAGTTGCTGAAGGTCTATGGGAGATGTGCCCCGACTCTCTGGGAGTCCTCACCTCGTACCGTTCTGCTGAGCCGGTGGGATCACGCTGTAGTACACCGGTACGCCCCCTGCTGGGAGGCCCCCTTGCACAGATTGGCTCGCAGGGACCAGCATGGGTTGCTGGAAAGGCGGCTGGACCACATTTTGTGAGTCATTACCCACTGGGACCTGGGTAGAGATAAGAAGAGAATGACCACTTGTACTCCCAATGAGGTCATCCAGAGAATGGCCAAATAAGTCATCAGTACACCAGGACACTGACTTCCTTCCCTACCTGTAGAGACTCCTCCTACTCTCCTCATCTGCCTAAAGAAAATGTGGACAGAGCTTTCTGCACTTCCCTCTTCTCCAAACACCTCCCTCGGGCATCTGATGTAGAGAAAGGAGCCTGACTTCCTTTAGATCCTACTTTTCTGGGCCACATACTCATTTGCACGGCTGTATAAAGACCAAACAATTTAAATAAAGACAATCTTCTCAGACTCTCTGGGCTTTCTCTCAGAGGAAAAACACCCACAAATTCTAGGGGGAAAGTGAACAGTATTTTAGTGTTGGAGTTGTCACACTGGATGATGTGGGAGACTGTCTTCCTTTTCCTCATCCCAAGGACTGGGTGATCTTTCCCAGTGCAGAATGCACCCACTTGGTAAGAAGGCAGTGGAGTGTACTGAACCACCAGGCCTTGCATCTGGCCCCCCATGCTGCTCCTCTGGTTGCTGAGCAGGCCCTGGTTCTGTGGCTGCTGGACCCCAATCATGCCTTGGTAAGCCGCCTGCTGCTGGTTAGGCATCATGGGCTGTAAACCTAGGGATAGGCAAGGCAGAGAAGACATTAGCATGGTCTCAACGATGTTCAGGAGGTTACACTCTCTCAGTAATTTTCCTTCTCCTGTCTATTTTACCTTTTTTTTTCCTGGAGATCCTGGGTCCCTCTTGGAACTAATCATTCCTGTGCCTTTCTTTTTTTTTTTTTTAAACAAGGAAGTCTCTGCCCTTCCTCTATTTACTGCCTCCCTACCCCAGCAGTTCCTCTTACCAGGCTGCTGGGATGGCTGAGGCAGCTGTTGACCACGTTGGGGGCTGTAGGCCACCGGGTGAGAGAGAGGTCGATATTGCTGGTTGGAGTTAGGATACTGTCCAGGGGGATAGTAAGAAACCTGGATCTATGGTGAGAGGAAAGAGATATGTGAGAGGCTCCCTTAAATTCAACCCCAACATCCCCGCCTCTTGATTTCAGCTCAAGTCATGATCTCAGGGTTGTGAGATCGAACCGAGTCGGGCTCTGCGCTTGGCAAGGAGTCTGCTTGAGATTCTTTCTCTCCCTCTGCCTCACCACCCCCAAATAAATAAATCTTTAAATCAATAAATGAATCAGGGTCAAAGGCCAGAAATCTGTAAATAGAGATGTCTGGACCTGCAACTGCAGCATTAACATACAAGTCTGAAACAGAACAGGAATGATTTATGTTATGTAGGAGGATGACCTTCTGACTAGAAAGACAACTCTCAAGTGCAAGGTGGGGAAATGGAAATGGGGACAGGTATCTCCTCTGATCTATCTAAACTAGACGAAGAAAGGAGGATTATAACAGTGGACAAACTGAATTAGTGATTTAAGCTGGGAGCCCATGCTGCTCACCTGTTGAGGGGGCTGCATATAGCCCTGGGGCGGCAGGACTTGCTGAGTAGGTGGCGCATGGCTAGAAGGGGAATAGTTGGATGTGGGGAGGGGCTGTCCCGTAGAAGCCATGATGAAGCTAGTCTGCTGAGGATGCTGGGAGATAAGTGGGGGCTGGAACAGAGCTGAGGATGGGTCAGCTGCTTCAGTAGAACCTTGGCGACTAAGGCTCATTTGTCCAAAGGGGTTGCTGAGGTCATCTGCCTGTTGAGACAGCAAGGGAGACTTGAGGACTCAGGTCATATCAAGCCCCCTGTATCTGGCTTCAACACAAAGACAGATAGACAGAAATAGCAACCCTCTCTACAGCCTTCTTTACTTACACCAATTTGGGATACTCCTGCCTCCATTCCCTGGGAGGCACTTTTTAGCCCTAAGCCTCTATCATGTGGTGTTTTAAACTGCTGTGAACTACGGGCGCCTGACTGGCTCAGTCTCTGGAGCATGTGACTCTTGATCTCAAGGTTGTGAGTTCGAGCCCCACATGGGGTGTAGGGATATTTAAAAATAAAACTTAAAAAAAATTGCTATTAACTGAACAGGTTTTTGAAGCCTAACTCCAGAATCAGACTCCTCACCACATATGAGATAACAATGACCACTGTGACTACGACCTCTATCAGAATTAGCCTTGGAGAGATGGGAGCAACAACACAACTTTCTGTATATATAAAGACAGGACAAACTAATTAGGGCTAAAAAAAAAAAAAAAGACTGTAAGTCCTTCTCCATTTCCTGTTTTCCTCATGTCTCCAACCATACAAAAGGCTCTATGTTGCCATAGATCCTGTTTTTATAATAAAGGACCTAGATAACACCTTGAGTGGACTAGGGATGGCTAGGTTCATGAGGCTCCCCAGCTCTGCCTATGTAGCGGAAGGACGGTGGGCTTCCCCCCCTGCTGCTTATCCCCTTTAACTCTCCTCTCGAGGTCATTTCCACCTCTGTTCTCTGACACTTGCCTAGAGTTCTCCTGCCCTTCATGAACCACTTCCAATTCTCACCTCTGAAAGGAGGCCAGGCTGAGTGGCTGAGCTGGAGGGCAAGGAGACTGACAGGCTAGTCTGTAATTGCCTCCTCTCTCAGCTCTCTTCTCTAAGCAGCAAGAGGGACGGACGGTGTTCCGCCTCTCACTTATATGATGATAGGTCAGAATTTGTTAGCTTCCCCGTTCCTTCTGCTTCCTGGATGGTAATTCTCTCTCTCTCTCTCACACACACACACACACACACACACACACACATTCTCTCTCTCTCACACACACACACGCGCGCGCGCGCACACAGGCACACGCACATGCTAGAGCAGTACTTCTTATGAAAAACAAACTAGTAGAAACAAAGACTTGTTTCTTTCCTGTGGTCTCACTTAATTTTCAGGAATCTGATCTTCAAGTTAGCTGTTTTGCTACCTTAGTGGGCAGGAATAGATGACAAGAGGACTGGACTGCAGATTATTTTGAGGTCCACATTCCAGAGCTTTTCAGAATGGAGATGAGAGTTGGAAGGAAAGAGGGGATTCCAGTGAAAAATCAGACCATGTGATTCACACACACACACAACCAGGGCTCTCATAACCATGATAGGAGTTATCAACTATGAGGTAAATCAGGTCTTCACAGGATTTGTAGTCAGGGTACAAACAATTGAAACAGCATGTTCTATGGAAATGGCTGTTTTTTATATAAAATAACACAGTAAGATGAGGAACATTTTAAGTTTTTACCAGTAATGGCAGAGAAATCTGCAATTGTGTTTTTATCTTTGAAGGAAATTATAGAAAACCATCCTATACAGGATAAACTGGGTTCTGGGAGTTCATACATGTCCAGAAAGGAGATGAGATGAAGGATGCACATAGAGGAGCAATGAGGAGCCCAGGTTAGAGCCAACATCCAATTTTGTCCCCCTCCTGAAACTCAGGGGAACTCAGTGTTCCTCTCTTATATTTAGGCATCTTTCGATGCCTGAAATCCTGTGACGAGGCCACTAGAATGGACTATAGCTCAGCCCGTGCTAGCCCTTTGCTCAAGAAGAAACACCTTTTAACACGGCCTTCCAGAAAGTGCAACTGCTTTGTCCCAGATGGACCCCACAGACATACCACAGATACAGGCCATACATGGACATGACAAAAAGGGGAACGGAGTTTATACCATGTTGTACTGCTGGGGCGGAGAGACTGGCAGAAGGACTTGGGGACAGGAGGCTGGAGAGAACTGAACAGGCTGCGGAGAGGGCTGCAGAGCCGGGACTGGCTGTGGACCAGCAGAGAGGCATGTGGACAGGGAAGAAAAAAGGGAGGTAGAGGGAGAGGCAGGGGGAGGGGAGCAGAGGCAGGGAGGGAAAGGGGAGGAACAACAAGGTTAATCATAAAAAAAAATGTCACACGAATAGCAAGGCTGCTGAGCAGACTGGAGAGCAAGCCCTAGATAGCTGCGGCTTCTGCATCTCTGACAAATAAGCAATCTCTCCTATGAGGAGAGACCCGTGGCAGCGCACACTCCACCCCGTTAGCTACTCAGAGCTCAGCAGCTGTTGTGAGCAATCTTAGGACTCTCAGAGCCAGTGTCTGCAGCCTGATTCCAAACACAGCTTTTCCCAAAGCATTTTTTCTGAACACACGATTCCTGGGGAGCATGATTGTACCCCTCCTTGAATGCCCACTTGAGCAGGGATTCCTGCTTCTGTAGGAGGGGTTATCCAAGGTCTGGCTCAGCTTTCCCAGCCAAGCTCCTGATTTCACACCACAGCTCTCCTGGAGGAAGTGCTCATTCACAAGGATCGTCTCCCTCCCAAGGGTAGGGAAGGAAAAAACCACCAGTTCACACCTGGTTCCAGCTACTTCCTCCTGCTTTCATGATTGTTCTGTGCTTCTCCAGGCTGTGAGGGCAGTAGGAAAATGCCCCCATAAGCAAACAGGGAGGGATTTGGAATAAAATATAAATAGCTTCAAAAATATATATATAAATAGCTTCACTGTAGCTTTTGTTCCTTCAGTCCCTCCACTAGCCTCAAGCAGGAAGATTTGTTTATGAGGAACATGATGTGTTCTAAAGCAACTAATGGGAAGTTTTTTTCTCTCTCTTCTTCTCCTCCAGCCATTTCAATCACCTCTCCTGGAGAACTGGTGCTCCAGCCATAGCCCCTGGTGGTAGATGGGGTGGGAGAAAGGGGAGAGGCTAGGAAGGGGGGTGGGAATACCATCTATATACATCGTCTCATTTACATACATATCTCATTACAGACTCACAATAATCCATAGGGAGAGGTGATAACTTGTATTTGTGGTTAGGATAGTAAGGCTCAGAGGAATTCAATCACATGTGCAGGAGCACACAGCTAATGCAGCTGAGCTGGGATGGGAACCTAGCTCTGCCTCACATGTATTCTTTCTACTCCACTCTGACAGCAGGGAGCAGGCAAAGGAAGAAGTTAAACAGAATTATACAAACATGTTTTTGTTTGTATGATTCTCCTCCCTCCTTTCAAATTTAGAAGTATGGGGGTCCAAGGTAGCAATATCACCTCTCGGCATATACCTCTGGGGAGACCCTTTCATAAAGGGGACTAATAGTTCTGGAGGCAGAATCCGGGAATTAGGAGCCCTCCAAAACAAGAGAATGCTCTTGTTACTTGGATTAAATAAAATCTAAGTCATCTTGGTTAGGAAAAAGTTACTGAGAATCCACTGCGTGACCTGGGGGAGATGTTGCAGCACCCGTGATAAACTCCCAGCTCTCTTGGCATACCCCGTGTCTGTGAGCCATTTCAAATCTAACTGCTGCCCAGGCTGCTCAGCATGAGCTACTTGCGCTGGTAGGTTTTCAACCCATTTTCTATTATCCTAGTTCTTTTCTTTCTCTTGGGGAGAGGATCTATTGTGCTTCAGGTCTTGTACCCTCTGGGGGCGGAGGGGTGGCCATAGGTATAGCTGCCTGTTTCTTCACATTTGTGAGTTCTGAGGGAAAAGGGGGAAGAAATGATGCTCCTCTCTTAGGCCTCTTCTGACTGAGGAAGGGTAGTGGTAAAAGTAGGTGTCTCCGTGCTATTTTTAAGTTCTTCCACCACTATCCTCAGCTACAGTTCTCAGAGAATCTCAAACTCCAGGGCTAGGGAACTTTGGAAAAACCATGGGGAAGCCAAAGACTGGCCCTGAGGGCTTTGACTGCCACCTGCTGGTGAATTCTTCAGATCACTGGCTCCTGGCTGCCTAACTAGACTCCCAGAGGGCTCCGCCTCAAGAGGTCCACGCCACCTTAGGTAAATAGGGCAAAAGGTAGCCACTGGTCCTTTAATCCTCAGCCTCACCCACTGGTTTCATGTGTTCTACTGACACATGACAGGGAGGTCTGCTCTGCCATCAGAAGCCTGCCAAGAAGGGAAAGTTTAGCATAGTTTAGCCATCATTGTCCCCAGGCCTGTTGCAAATCCCTCTTGCTACAAATTTCTGAGGGAACAGAATCTCTGTAACGAATAATGCTCCCCTGTCTCCAATCTATAGGTCCTAACCTAGGACTGGACATCCTGCAGAAGATCAGTCAATACCCATGACCTACCCACTGACCCTCGTGATCCAGAAGCAGGGCCAGAATGAGTAAAAGTTTGGGATTTAGGGCCAGTCACCCAGACACTCTAAAATTCTTTCAGCCCCAAATGGTTATTCTCATTATCTCTTTATTCTCCTCCTACTCTTGTTGTCTGTTTCTAGATATGGATGGAAGGAGGAGACAGATGAAGACCAAGAAGGAGAAAAGGGAGCAAGACTACATTAAATTACACACATCCTAGAAAATGCAAACAAATACTGGGACCACAGACAAGTGAGGCACGCACAGAAACACAGTAGAGATAGCCAGAGAGAGAGAGGCGTTCAAAACAAGGTCTTGTTTATAGGTCTGAATGAAGACCCATCAGGGAAAGCACATACACATGTCACACTTCAGGATGGAGCAAGGTAAGCTGGTAAGAATGGGACTTAATGAGGTAGATGGTGGTAGAACCAGAACAAAAGTCAGGACTACAGAGAAACTGATTTAGGGGCCAAGATAAAGGCCTGGAATGATCTGCATGTAGGTTACATTAAAACACAAAGCAGGGTGTCCCAGATCATCACAATATCAGAATGGGGTAGTACTGGGCCACCCTGGGCTCTTTCCAGTCCAGTTTCCAGTTCCTGGGGAATGAGCGTCTGTGATTTGCTTGTGTTACCTACAGAAGAGACAGATCTGAGGCCAAGCTGCACTAACAGAGCACAGAGGTGAGGGAGCCTGGGAGCTGAAATGAGAAAAACTGCAGCAGCAGAGTGCAGATGTGGGCTTCCCGATTAGCAGAGAGCACCACCAGAGATACTCCAGGACAGAGGATGGGCTCCACTCATGGGCAGCTCTACTCATGGAAAAAAAGAGTAACTGAAGACCTCAGCACAGCTCTCCTCAGAGTATTAAGGAGGCTTAAACCTAGAACGCTAACGTTCCAGTTTAGAATAGGGACTGATTCTGATGCTGATGACTTGCATGACCTCCACAGAAACAAAACTTCACCCAAACCCTACTTGGAATCAACCTCTATCAGTCCAGCAACACAAGGAGAAAGAGCTCTTTTCTGGCACGGGAAACAAAGACAACTATGGAGGGGTTTGTGCCTTATGGCATATGTATGGCAGGGGTCTTGAGCATATTTCCTTTCCTCAAACCCCAACTCATAAATATGTGTTTATGGCTCAACAGTCACATGAACACAGGCAGTTATGGTGGGAGCTGTGATCTCTTCAAGCTCCATATATGGACACAGCGAACAAAATCGCCTCACTAATTACACAGGACACCGAGGGAGATGAGGTACAGCAGAAGTGTGGAATGGGGTAAAAGATCCCACTGGCAGTTCTCAGGAAGAAGAAACAGAAAGCAAAAAGCCCCCAGGCTGACTCTAAGTGCACTTTGGCCAAACCCTTGCCCTTACGCCTCTCTTCCCACAGCTTACAAACCAGAAACGGAGGAGGGAATGGCAGGCCTCCAACAGATCTTTCCTGCCACCCACAGCACAACAGACATGACTGTACTTCCAGAGCTCGCCTGAATCGGAGCGGAGGGGGCTCTGGCACTGAGTGGTGACTCACCTGTGAGATCATGTGATTATTCAAGGGTGGCTGTTGCTGAGGCGTGGGTGGGAGAGCAGGAAGCTGCGGCTGCTGTGGCTGCTGCTGGCCAGTACAAGGGAGAAGGCCCCGGACGGACTGGGATGAGGTGACCTGGTTGCACACTTCTGGGGCACCTAGTGCCATACCTAAGGCAAAGAGGAGACCCACCAAGAGTTGTAAGCACCAGCCACGATCATGCCACCCTTGGAGATGCAGGGCTCTACTCCTTCCCTGCTGCTTCTCCTCACTTCCCTTCTGTCCATTCCCCCACTGTCTTGCGAAGATCCATGCATGAGCACAGATGCATTTCAGCTGCCCTGCTGATGAGAGTCTTCATCTTAGCAGGTTTCTCCTCCCCAGGGACAGTAAATACCTTGCCCGTTGATGTTGGATTTCAGAATGGAACGAAATGTGAGGCTGCCAAGGCATCTCCTCTGAAGAGCCTAGAATCTGTCCATCATGACTAGACAGCTGAAAACATGAATGTTTGCTTCCTGGGAAGGTGCAGATTCCTAGTCCCTTAAGAGACCTATCTTCTCTCTGATTTCTTTCCAACTTGAAGCATTTCATAAAAGTTGCTGAGAAGGCAACCTTGCCTCTCCCAGCACTTGCCTGTACACACACATAAGCACAACTGTCACCCAACTCTTCTCCCCATTTCCAGCCTCTCCAAGCCATGCACGCATTCACATAAAATACTTTTACCAACTATCTGCTATGTGCCGGGCGTTGTATAAGGAACCGAGAACACAAAGGTGAAGAGAACACAGTCCTTGCCATTAAGTAGCACAGGATCTTCAGACAGGAGATGGACACGCACACAGCGATTACAGTCTATCTGATAAGGACAAGGGATGCATCAGTGATATGAACTAAGTTGTATGGCGGCAAGGTTGAGGAAGCAGTAACTCACTTAAAGAGGAAGTGGGAGGAGAAATGGATTTAAAGGGTGAAGAGAAGACCTGTCAGACCAAGAGGGAATGAAGTTAATACCATATTCAACCAATGGCTGGAGAGCAAGAGGAAGAAGGATATCTGCAAGTAAGACGGAAGTAGCAAACTGGGGTCAGGAAGAAATGCTGCATTAAGTCATTCGGATTAGATTATGCAGGGAATGCAGAAACATGAACATTTTTAAAGAGAGGACTGACATGATTAGATCTATGTTCTGGATTGATAAACTGGCTCTAAAAAGGGCTGAGGATGGAGCAGGGAAACCAGCTTGGGGACTAGTATCATAAATAAAAGAACACAAAGGCCCAGATAAAGGCAGAGGCAATGGGGGTTAGAGAAGAGGTAACACCGAAGGGCAGCAGAGACCTAACAGAGGCAAAATCTTCACGACTACTGAGGTCTTCTGAGGACAAGACCTACAGAACTTCTGGGATGAGAGGCAAGAATTCTTTAGAGGCGGAAGGAGGGTGAAATAGAGGTCCACTGGGTATAAGGAGCCAAGTACCCCTTGCTAAGAGCGCAACAGGAATAACGGAGAAATTACACAGTACATCAGAAGAGCTGAACGGTGGTTACAGGCCTGGCACGTGCAACATAGGGCTCCTTCTCAGTGACAACATAGGGCTCCTTCTCAGTAACTGGGCTCCAGAGAAGCAGCCATAGCATTTCTTGCAGTTTTGGCTTACTGGTCGCTACCAAGTGATTATAAACAGCTGAACTCCAAGGCTTTCTTTTGCACTACCAACCCTCTACAGTCTCAGAGGTTACAGAATGCAAGCAGTATCATTCTTATCTTAGTATATAACTTGAACTTGGGCTGACAGGGATGCCTAACCTTGTTCAGAAATAAGATAAAATAAATCCCAATCTTTTGTTTGTTCATTTCCAATTAGAAAAGAAGGTCTGAAAGAAAATCAGAGAGGGGACTCAAAAGAACAATGGATCCAAGAAATCAAATTTTTCCTCATCTGGCTATGTTAGTTTTCCAGGACACTATACTGGGACAAGGTTTTGTTAGAAGTAAATATCAGTGACGTTTTGCAGAAGACAAGCAAGAAATGATGAGCATGACACTGAAGGACAGAAGCTGTAGTACCTGGCCTGGAGATCCTTCCTGCACTGCCACCTTTACTGCTCCCGATGCTGTCCCCTCGGGTGAGGATAGAGATGCCACTGAAGCTGCTGGCTTTGGTGACAGGGGGCCGCATGCTTCGGACAGAGCCGTCAGAGTCCGTGCTGCTCCACGGCCGTGGCTCCAGGGATTTGAGTTCGCTGTCTGTGCTGCTCTGGCGGCTGCTTGAGGTTCGGCTCAGCCCCTCACGGTTCCCCCTGCAGAGACCACAGTGGTCAGAGCACCCCCCACCTACCACTTCGGCAGAAGAGCTAGGAGAGAGTTCATTTCTATTCTTTCAATAACAAAGAAGGGGTGACGGTTGGGAGGAGGATGGACACTGATTTCTTGTTAGTTGGCTGGCCAACCAAGACTTGCTGAGAGCAGACAGAACAAGATCCAGTACAGTAACAAGGAACACAGAGGCAAATCTGGAAGACAGTGCAGTGGCAACTAATTCAATACATCAGACCAGAGGTGGCCGGGAAACCATATACATGATGCTGAGATTGGCTGTGGTCATTTCCCCTGCCCCCGCAGGGATCCCACACATGCAGGAGATAGTGGGGAGCAGAGGGGTACCACCCTCTTCTAGGAGTTCTTAAAACAAAAGGACTTCTAGAAGTTACTATTGTGGGAAGGCAGGGGTAGCCAAGACATGGATAAATATAATAGGTCTTCCACATAACATGTGTCAAAGCCAGCAGAGGTACCACTTTTCCAGAGGTGGGAAGAGGAGTACAGCAGATTAATGGGGCACTCTGGAAAACTCAGTCTGACAGTCTGAAATTGAGCCAACCTGTTCATGGAAATTCTGCATTGGTATCTGGGAACAACCGGTTTCAGGGTCTCTAAGGGCTACAATCTTCAACATGATCAAGCAAATATGCCCTTGGGACCCAGGATGGCAAGGAGCAGGGGGCTGGCTGTGCCTAAATGCCGCCATATTAACAACCCTATTGCCCTAGGCAAAGCACAAAACTATTGAGGAAAGGGACTTCTCTCTTATTTTGCTCTGGAAACATCAGGGTTATCCTGATGCTGTAATTACTGCCTAATGATTATAAACAGTTGTACTTAAGATAGATGGGGTTGACCTAAAACCCCTATGTCTTAATGAGCCCTTACTGCTTCTTAATTAATAAGCAACCAAGAACCAGGAATTCTCCTTTCGTATCTCCCACCCCCAACAACTACTCACCTAAAGAAACTAAATGACAACAATTACAAAGATTTTGGTATATATACTGGGATGCAGGTGAGCAAAAATCATAGTAGCTTGGGCTCCCTCATTTTCACCACCATCCCGCCTAAAGCAAATAGAAAACCCCATCCCAATCCCCTTAGCTTCAAAGATACTAGGCTCGGAGTTATTCTAATAAAGAAAGGTAGTTTTCTTACAAGGGTAACGTTAAAGAAAATACCTTCCTTTATTGGAGAGTATCTGCTCCAAAGGTTACTGTAGGGAAAATGGGCAAAATAAAAGCTAGGGTCACTATTTTAGTTTTTAGTCAAGCCAATCACAATGGGCTAAAAACAAACAAATCGGAAGAGCTGGTTAGGGACAGCTAATTCTTCTCGGAATCCCAAGTAGATGTATATATAACCTCAGTGCTTCTCTCTATAGTTAAGAGAACTGGAAAATATTCCTGTCTCCCTAAAACCTTATCCCTCTCTCTTGGGAATGTCAAAACTGGAATGGGAAACAAAGAAAGAAATGTAAATCAGGGACTCTTCAGAAACAGAACCAGACCTGAAGTGAGAGCCAAGAGCTCTGACTCAATGGCCAAAGGCAAGTCTACTGAGAGGACTCAATAAAGATGTGTCTTGTTTCTGGGTTAGAGGATAGAGCAGTGGCAATGGATGAAGCTGCTCATTAGATATTAGAACCTGAATTTTACAAGTCCTAATGGACTTTTACACCTAAATCAAACACAGCACTATCTATTAGGACAGTTTTGCCATTTACTTTGTCTTTCTACTGGAGGTAAACAGTGAATGAGTCAACTTTAAACCAAACACCCTGGGAAGCTTGAGCCAAAGTGGCAGTGCTTCTGTACTCCTTCTGTACTCATTAGGTTCCCCCAAGACAGTGATGGCCCAAGTGTTGAAAATGTGGCTAGTCTGATGATCTAACCTCAGTTAGTACACTACACCCCCAAGAGTTAGATAATCTAAGTTGAGTCTTGGCCAGGAAAGAGATCAATTTTCCTTCTCTACAACTAAACCTAATCTCTAGCCATATCTTTCCACTTCACTAAACATATAGCAACTAGGGAAAGCTCCGAGACTCAGTTCTAAGCACTGGACTGGGGTATGTATGTGTGTTGGAGAGATGGGGGTAGAGGACAGAGAAAATTCACACTTTATACTCCTATAAAATCAAAGTTGACTCAGCTTTCACAAGGAGATTTATGCTTGTGAAAAAGGTCAGTTTATTGGGTCTGGGGAGTGGGTAGGCAGGCCTGTGTAAGAAGCAATGGTAAATGTCAGTAATGGCTTATTTGTCAATAGAGTAGAATCTTCCAGAGAACTGGGAAGTTGCCCTAGTTATTGCCAATGTGGATGATGGAATGTGGTGTATCAGTATTTGTTTCACACACTTGGGAAGAAAGGTAAAAAGCAGTTAGAGAAGACTAGCTTCTCATCACTAGAATTCTGGACTAGTACCCAAATAGAAGAAGTTGCCCCCTTGAGGGTCCATGGTACTGCATTTTAGATGATCTAGATCTATGACCAACACTTAGTATGGAAAGCAGCAGCTTAAAAGGAGGTCTGGATAGGAGAGGGTTGCACCTGCTCACTAGGTCCTTGGAGCTGTTTGATGTAGTTTGATGCTCCACAGCACTAACGGGTATCATTCTTACCAACGAATGCGATAAATGAGGGCTCCAAATGGAATACTCAGAGAGGAAGGGGTGATGTTTGTAGTGAGCTGGTCTGGTGTACGGTGAAAGAATACCAGACAGAGAGTCAGTCCCAGTTTTACCACTAATAGCCATGTCAACTTGGGTTAGTTACTTAATTTCTCTGCTTTCGTTTTCTTACATGTAAACCAGTTTACTAAATCAGGACACTGAGAGATCTAAATCAGATACAGTATACTTTGGCAACCGTAAAGCCCTGTGCATTAGCATATGCATAGAAGTTAGTTTAAAACCGTTTATTACAGGGTTCTGGGATGATTTATGATCCTGAAGTATATAATATGGAATAGGGATTTTTTTTTTTTTTTTAAAGGGGAACTCTATCTCAATCATCATGAACAGGGCAGAGCCCTCACTGCCTACGGGCTTTCAGATGGACTTCAGGGTGTCCAGGAAAAAGAGTTCAGAGATATGGAAAAGGAGGTAATGCCCCATTCCAAGAATGAGAAATCTTGCAACTCAAATTTCTACGTGGTTTGACTAGCTTTAGAAAGGACACAGGGGGAATGGACAACTGAGGTACTAGAAATGAGAGCTCTAACTAATGTGAGTTAATTAGTTCCTATCAAGCTTAGGATTCAAAAAGAGATAAGCCCTTTGGAAAGGGTTGGACCTGAATCCTAGTATTGAATATTCTGGTTTTCTCTACTCCATAGTTTTTCTATTGGTAAAATGGGAAGAATGTACTTAAAATGAGTTGGTGCCAGACAGGATCCTAATGAAGTGCTTCTCTTACCACTGCCTTCTGTAATCCTCTGGAGTGGGACTGAGAAAATCAAATGAAAGGGAGATTCTCACGACTGCTTTGTGGAACATGGAGACTATTAGGCCCGAAGAAGTTAATATAGCAGCTTTCACCCATGTCAACAGCAAGTCATGGACGGTCATAAAAAAAAAAGACGTGCTCTATGTCCATGCTAAGGCAGACAAGTGTTTTTCTGAGGCCATCTTACAGATTACATTGTCCCAAAGAGAAAACTACATAGAGATGTTTGTGTTTTTATATGTGTGTGTGCATACTATTCTTTCTTTTTAAGATTTTTATTTATTTATTTGACAGACAGAGTGAGGGAGTAAGAGAGGGAACACAAGCAGGGGGAGTGGGAGAGGGAGAAGCAGGCTTCCCGCGGAGCAGGGAGCCCGATGTGGGGCTCAATCCCAGGACCCCGGGATCATGACCTGAGCGGAAGGCAGACGCTTAACGACTGAGCCACCCAGGTGCCCCTGTACTATTCTTTCTTAAAGATATAAAACATTCCCTACGCTGGGTCAGGGATAAGCTCTTCACATCTTTCATAGATTCAGAAAAGGTAGCCAGAAGATACCCATTCTTTTACCTTGATATAAATACATGTTGAAATCCTCCCCAAATGCCCAATTCCAGCAAACTTTTGGAAAGGAGCAGTACCTATCCCAGACACACCTATCTGGTCCCCTTCACCACCTATCCACGACTTAAAATGAAATCAGCAACAACAAAAATAAAGTCATTGAACAGGAGCCATTTCTCTTTTAATGGGGAAAAATATCCAATGTTGCAAAAACCACAAGTTGAATTATTCCACAAGCAGCCATGCATGGAGCAAACTCACTCCGCTGAAAAGATTACAGCAAAATAAAATAAAAAACAAAAACAAGGAGAGATATAGATCACACAGAGGTACCTAAAAATCTGCCTTCTCTTGTGAGAGCTAGAAGAAAAGGCTTCTTTGGAGAGTCTGTTGGTTAACATCAAAGAAAAGCATCATTACAGGATTATATTAACCTCACTGACAAAGCTCAATGAGAAGCAGGGAACATGCTAAGTGGTACTAACCTGATGTCATTTAGATATCCGTTCTGGCCAGTCTAGGTGAAGGGGAGAAAACGGAAAATAACTTATAAGAAAACAGCATGGCATAACCGAAAAGGGTGTCCGTGATGCTATGAATACCCAAGGTCCTCAAACCAAGCTCACCCCCCAACAGGGAGAGAGGGAGCAGGGACAGGATGACCCACACCCACACACCCAATCTGACCTCTCACCTTTAGTGGGAAAGAGCATTCAGTGTTTTTAGCCTTCCCACAGAGTGTTTAAAAAGAGACGCTGATATGGAAAGGAGGAAGAGGAAAGTTTTAACCTATTATTTCCTTTTTAGTCCTAAATTTATTCTCTCTAGAGGTAAGCTGAGCATAATAATTGCTGTGCTTAGTCCTACAGAGTATGATCAAGGGAAGGGCAAAGGGAGACAAGAGAAAGAAATTTAGTTTTTTGGAAGTCATCCTCAGTGACTATTCCATTTCTATCCTCCACACTGGCCAAAATGAAAGACATTCTGACCTGACCTGAGACCCAAGGAGAGTAAGAAATTGGGGAAGCAGGTACTTTTCGGAGCCTAGAAAAAAGGAAAGAATTAAAAGCCCAAAACAATCCTTTTGGGGGATCATTTCCTGACAAAGCCACTGAGCTGAGTGAAGTGAGCATTATGATGCACTCCCAAGCCTTAGAAAAAGGCCCCCGGAGTGTCCAGCTGCTGAGCAGAGTGGGCTCCACAAGGAGCAGAGCCTACGTGGGGCAGCTCAGGCTCCAGAGAAGGCTGAGGTGGCAGCATTTCCATCCAAACACCCTTCTTGCCACTTCCCTTTCTTGTTGGCCTGCCTCTTCCTCCCATCCGCCCTAACCTACAGTTCCACCCTTCACCAGCTCCCTCTGCCTGGCCAGCTTCCTCTCCACAATGGAATCTCTGGATTTTGGTGGGCTTTGGCCATATTTCCTTGTCTAGATCTTCTGAGATTCCTGATGCCTCTAACACAGCAAGAGTTAGGAAGTGCTGAAATGAAAAGTGGTAAATCCGCAAGGATTTAACAAAGAATACATATATTAGTAGAGGCTTGAGAGACTAGAAATCAGGAGAAAAAAGGAGAGAAGAGCTAATTGGGATTTTGTTACAGCTGTAAACAGATATGTTCCAGTGTTGTTCCTAATTAGCCACAACACCTTATTAAAAGTTACTTGGGCTTTCAGAATACCCATGGCTTCGAGAATGGCGGGCACAGTGGGACAGTCATTCACCATGCGTGAGTAAAGCAGAGTAGCACGTCACAGAGAGCTATGCTATGATGTCACTGGTACTTCCTAATCTCAAGAGCCCAGAGCAGAGCAAGCTATGGAGAGGTGGTTTACTTTAGGGGTCAAGAGCAATGTCTCTGGAGCCAGACTCCTTTGCTTGAGTTCATGTATCAACCTAAGATTACTTAACCTTTCTATGCCTCAGTCCCTCATTTCTAAAATGAGGAAAATATCACAACCTACCTCACAGACCTAGTGTAAGGATTAAATAATTTATGCAAAATGCTAAGAACAGTGTCTGAAAGATAGTACGTAGTATATAAATGTTTGTTATTATCACCCACCAACCTGCTCTGTCCACAACTTAAGGTCATTGCTGGCCACAGCCATGTACAAGTGACCTCTCTCCTCTCATTCCACCCAACTGGTTTGCAGGTAAAGGCAGAGAACCCTCTTTGGGCTATGGTTGGATAATTTGGAGGACAGATTTTTTTCTGACTCAGAATCACAGTCTATATAACAGAAGCTAAGACGATTCCTTCTCCTTGGACTTTGGGCCAGGAGGTTTGTTGTGTATCTGTCCCCAGGGAGGATCCTTGGAACACTTGGGTCTCCTGAGACAGTGGAAGAAGTTCATAGAGGAGTTCAGTTTTCTTGAAGTCAGAGATAATATTTTTCTGAACTAGGTGATGATGGAAAGAGAAATGTATTTTTTGTCTTGCTGATGGAGGGGAGAGTGGGGAAATGAGAGGAGAGTAGTGTTCATCCAAGTATACTGATTAGAACTGGCCATCTTTTGTCTACAAAGGGAGACTGGCTCTTTTTCCTTTGTTTGTTAATTTGACTGTAAGATAGTGCTGCTATCCAGATCCTACATTTTTCCGGAGATCTATTCCTCTCTTGCTTATCTACAGCCTTTCCTGAATTTCTGCTATGCTTCTCTTTAGTCTTGTTAGGCAAAGGCCACCAAATACAGGGGTACCAAGTATATTTAATATGGCCCACAATTCTTAAGAATAAAGTTGCCTAAAATGATCATGTTTCCTTTTGGCCCACAGAGTCCATCCTATTCTAAGAAGCAAGGTAGGAAATATAGGAAGAAAGAGACTTCCTGTTCAGATAGAAACTGGAGGGAATAGTAAGTGGTACCCTCTGTGCATGTGGAATGTGGATCTCAGAGAATGGATGCCAGACCTGTGCTCTAACAACCACCAACATATCCTAAAAACGAGGCTGGCCAAACAAGACTGATGTATATAGGCTGTGTGGACACTAAGTCTTCCACTTAGAAGCAAAGATGCCTAAAATGGATAGTGGAAGTGAAAGAGGGTAAATGGGAAAAGGGATTGACAGGCAAGAGTCAGGGGCCCTTCCATAAGCCCTGCCAAAACCATTTCTATTTTCAGTCTAATCATATCTACCAAATTCAGCCATTCCATTTGTTCTCTTTGTATGCCATACAGCAAAATGTATTAAAAATAATACAAATAAAAATCTGCAGCTTCCCAGTTAGCCACATTTAATTTGAGAGACCAAACTGGGGCTGGCTGATGTTGGTTAAAAAAAGACAACAACAAAACATTTATGGAGGGTTCATTCCAATCACAGTTCCAAAGATTAAGAGCTAAAAGCTATGGGCTGACAACTCTCAGAAGCTACACTTACCTCTCGGGCAAATATTCTCTCTCGGACCCTTTGATATTCCTCCTCTCTCTCTTCTATTGACTTGCTCCTCCTTCCATCCTGCAATGGAACTCTGATCTAGATCGATGAGCAGAATTAAGCTAGTTAAGTTCTCCTCGTACTGCAAGCTCACTGCACACCAGCAAGGAAGAGAAACCGGGAGAGTTTATAGTTGCCATCAAAAAAATGGAAAAAAAAAAAGAAATAAAATTTCCAGTGTCGGACAGGTTTCACTGGGTACATCTGACCATGCAGTTTGGGAGATCAGGTTTTCTGGATGATTGGAACCTCTTCATCTCCCCTCCCCCACCCAGTGTGTCAAGAACAACTATTTATAAGGATTGGGTTGCTTCCTTATAGTAATCAGATACTAAGGATCAAGAGAATAGCCCAGGGAATAAACAACATTGCTTTGGAGGGAAAGAAAGGGATAGGAGGAAGCTAGAGAGGGAGAAGAAACAAGTATTTAGCAGAGCTGAATTTAGAGAAGAGTTTTACCGAACTAGCACCTGATATTATCCCTTCTTTACTCACTAATGCCATGGCCTGAAGACCCAAGTCACACACAGCTCAGCGAAGAGGGCCTTGGGAATGAAATCCAAGTGAAGCTAACCTAAAAGCTTAGGCGCTTTTTCTCATTGTAACTTCAGCCTTTGGAGGGAGGGAAAGAGATAGAAATCACAGAAATAGAGAAGAAAGAGAACAGAACAACACAAAGAGGAAAAGAGAAAGAAAAGGAGACTAGAACAGAAAGAAGGATGGACAGGGAAAGGAAGAGACAAATTAAGGTATGGTGGAAGGAGGAAAGAGAGAGAGAGTGATAGAAAGGGAAAAGAAGGAAATGCAGGATAGAGAACCTTAAATTCTCTGAAAACTATAGAGAGGTAACAAGGGACAGCTGGGCAGATCACCACCTCTGGCTAGCCTACCACCCCACTGTCCATCATGGTTTTTCTCTCTTGGCCTGTGAGTTGTGAGCACTGTCCCGGGTAGGGTGTACACAGTGTCCTTTTCCATACTGCTCTTGAAGGCAAGATGCTCTGAGGGAGATAGCCCATCAAATGAATGTCATCAGGTATGAAAGATTCTGACCTTCAACCCAGAGGCTCTGAAAGCTTCCGATGAAGCCACGGAGGCTGCTGCTCTAAGCTGCTCTAAGCTGCTCTAAGCTGCTCTTCCTGACCCTCACCAGAGGCAGGCATAACTTCAGGAGTATCCACTTTTGACTAGATTTAATTCTCACTAGACTTAAGAACCTAAATCCTACTAAATGTCCATTTATAAATCCCATTCCAAGAAGATATAGGACCTCAAGTGCCCCTAACACTGGTGAGCCAGTGACAGAATAGCAAGAGCATAATGGGCTTTGAGGTCCCAGGCAGAATCTCAGCTCTCCACTTCTGAGTAAAGTTATTTCAGGCAAGTAACTTAACACCTCTTAGCCTCAGTTTTCTTATATTTAAAGTGGAGCTAATAACCCCACCTACATTGGGTTGTGGAGACAATTAAAAGAGATAATGCACATAATGTGTTTAGAACAGAGTCTAGTTCAGGGAAAACACTCAATAGAAATAACAATTACTGTATTTATTATTAATATCATAGACAGAAAATGCATAAAGCCTACCCTACTATGGATCGAGCCTGAAGCTGAGAGATGAAAAGTTCATAATATGGACAGATTCCACTCCGCCCCAATGTGTCTCTAGGCCTGAATAATTCCTGATCCACAGAAAAAGGGTTTTGGGAAAATGGAGAGAAGGGCATCAGGATGGAAAGGCTCTTTCTTGTTTTTTAAATTTTGTCTTTTGTATGTTTGTTTTCAATCAAACCCAGCGTGGTTTGTCCACAAAAGGTAATGGCATTTTTCTCAAAGGGACTCCCCTCAAATACTCAAGTAGCAAGCAGGAAAAGTCCTGGTCTCAAGACCATACAATATCCCAAGAAAACTAATTTTGACTCTAGAGGTAAAATATTATTACAGTTATCATTAATTAGCAAGACTAATATTGGCTCTACCCAACAATCTTCAAACCTTAATCCTGGTTCTCTACCTAACCTCCTTTGGAGGTCAAGCAGAAGCTGGTTGGATCTAAACCCTGTATGTGGCTGGGAAAACTAATCCCTAAAAAAAAATTTACTATCTGAAGGGCAGGCTAGAAGTCAGGGCAACAGCCAGGCCCATGAGTGAAGGATGGGGCAGATTGTTCACTTCTTATTCCCACAGGAATGGATTAAAAAGGGGATACTGCCTGAGACTCCCAGCATCAAATGTCAAATTAACTCACTCACCTTGGTAGAAGGAGTTGGGAAAAGAACAAGGAGTTTGCAGAAAGGGATCAGAAACATCTTTATAAGTGGGTATATTACATCACAACTTTGCCAGTCCAAGGCTAGCCCTGAGCTAGGATAAGACAGAAGTGGGATAAAGTAGCTTTTGGTGGTTCCCAAAGAAATTCCTAACTATTAAAGAAAAAAAGAATGAAGCCGTCAGCTGAATCAAGGCTGAAGCAGGGAGGGACCTTGCTTTGTCCCAAAATGACATGAGTTAGAAGGCAGCGGCAGAACCAGGGAGTTCTAGGCCAAATGAGAAAACCCAGCAAAACTCAGCACCATGTCTCTCTGGAGCTAGGAGGGCAGCATTCAGTTCAACAAGTGTAGTCAGTCCTCAACATTAAGCCAAAGCCAACTCAGTATAACTCAATGCAATTTTCCATACTAAGATGTTTTGAATTTTCTTTATCCCACAAAAATTCTTCTCCCCTCCCAGTTTCTCTTACTGCAATCTCTCTGTATAAGCCCACCCCTTTCCATTCTTCACCTGGTTATCATCTCGGTCCATACTGGCATCATCTCTCTTGAGAATGAATCTCTGTTGAAATTCTGTATTCTTCTCATCCTTTATGTGTTCTGAGAATCTCTGTTCAGGGCTGGGGTTGGAGAGAAATGTAGAAGGAAGGAAGGAAAAAGACGCTTTTGTTAGGAAGTAGACCTCCTAATATAGCACTCTTAAATTCCACAATTTCCCTTCAGGGGATTTCTGGAGTCAGGCATCCAAAAAGTCACAATGAAATCCTCAAGGTCTATTCTTTATGCATATACATATAAGTTGTCTTCTTCTAAAGTTATACCTGTCCCATCAGTAAAGGTGAAAAGACGCCAGGGGCTAGTCTTCACAAAACACCAGTGCCTCTAAAATCTATCTCCAAGTCCTCACGAAGCATAGGAATTGATAACATAACCCTCCACACTGTCTCCTCCCCAGAAAGGGGTATCTTGATCCTACACCTTCCTCTTCACCCCATAGGCTATCCCAGGGAAGTCTCCCAATCTGTGATTTCCTCCCTTACATTCTTGTGTTACTGGTTTTGTTGATGATGACAGCTTTTCCAGTTTGATCAACATTGTGGTCCATCCCAAAATAGGCAGCTACCCGGTGTAATAGCATCCGGTGATATGAGGTCATCTGAGGGAACTTCTTGAACTGGTTACTGAAGGGAAAGCAGGGGGAAAAGTGAAATAAGGACAAACAGCAGCAATAATAGCCAATTGTAATTTTTCTTTTAAGTGTCTAAAGTGGAGAATTTCTTAGGAGAAACAGACATGTTATAAGGAAGATAGATCCTTACTCAAATGGGAACCAAAAAGGTTCTCTCAGCTTCTTTATCTATAGCATTTTATAGATCACTCTGATGCACTACCCTCATTTAAGACTATTCCTTAAGCTCTAGGTCTCCCCCACCTGGATGATATTCTACAAAGAAAAAAGGGAGAAATTTAAGAATAACTAAATATGGGACAAGGGCTAGCTAGCTGCTAAAAAGATATCAATTATTTTCAACTCTAGTCTATGCAATAACTTAAAAACCTCAGTTCGTCACATATACTTTTTAATACATTCTGATCATTTCTCAACTCCTTTTGGTTCCCAGTGAGTAACTACTTCAAAATTCAGACTTTAAGGGAAATAAGAGGAATATCCTAAAATTGTACCTGAATTTCTTTTCAGTGCCCCCTCCCACCTCTAAATGTGCATTTCATTCAAGTGACTTACTTGTTGTCATTAATAAATTCCAGAATCTCCTGTTCTAATTTTAGCAGCATCATTCTGTCCCTGTTTAAAAAAGATTAAAACAAAACAAAACAAAAAGCAGCCCTCCCATAGACATTAAAAGCATTGAAACCTGCACACTACAGAAGCTGAAGGGGGGGATAGATCCAAACCCCAATAGCGGACAAAAACACAAAGGCTGCTGAGCCTCACTGGCCTGTCTTACATTACTTTAAAAAAGAAGAACAATCAAGTATACATTTTGCCTCTAAGGCAGGATTAGCTCCTAATCATGTACTTTGTTTTCCTTATCAGAAACCTAATTCTGTTGGCAGCCATATTCATTTAAAAACATACTTTATACTTATAATAAATCTAATCAGTACATTCCATCTGTTTATATAATTTTAAAACAATTATGATTTAGCTTATGTATATAACAATTATTTTTCCTTCTATGCTTTTAAATGGTACTCCCAAGACTTTATATTTGTCTCTGCATTCTCCTTCCATAGATTTTTCTTAGCTCTTCTGAAAGCAGACACCTCAACAAGAAGGTACTCTGAATCCCTCACAGAATATAAAACTACACTAGAGGGAAATAGTGGTCGGGGGTGGGCATCATAGATTTGAATAATGGAAAAATCCTGAGAAACTACTTGTCCTTTTAGGTATCCTGCTGGGCCCTCCTATCCCCTTTCCATCAAATAATGTTTTTACCTTGGGTTCTTTTTCAGTGTATTTACAAGAAATTCATGTAGGTCTATTCCAGTGGAGTCTGTATATTCTTGGCTGGAGTCTAGAACCAACACAACAAAAGAAATTTAAAATAAACGAAACTGCCTTGCATGAAATCTAATCCCAAGCAGAAACCCACAACCCAATCAGGAGAGATCACAGCAAAGTAAAATCAAACTTCAGGGGTTTTAGCTTAAAAACCAGAATGACACTTGATTTGCCAGGTCCCTTTCCCCTGCCAGATTCCCCATGACAGTGATGGAAGGTAGAATCTGGGTCATAGTGCTGTATTACACTGAGAAGCTACCTTACCATAATTAAGTATTTGCTGAATGTCTTGACCAAAGCAAAGCAGATTTTATTCAAGTTAAGGAAAATAAATTCCAGGTAAGAGCAGTAGGAACTGAATTTTCGAGAATCTCAGCAAACAGGTTCAAATGTTGATTATTTATTATTGATTTATAAAATCTTAATCCCAAGGTTGCCTTTTTTCCCCTCAACTATAATTTTTATTGACCAGGTCTTTTTGCTACCAGCCCAAGAGTTTAAAACCAAGGAGAACTTAATAATTAGATGCAAATCTGATTAAAAAAAATCACTCCCAGCATCCCAAAACCAAAATATAAATGGTATATGGAGGATCTGCTACTAGTGGTGATTCATGTCACTACTTATTCCAGAGCAGAAATAAAATCAGAATTAACTACAATGTCCTTTTATAGGTAGTGCCAATGTTAACTGAATAGCTCTCTGCAGCATCTGAGCCTCTAAGGCAGGATTAGCTAAAGCATCAAACAAAGTAACCTAGTCAGGCACCTCCCCAAGCAACCATGAAGTCAGCAGCACACTACAAACTGTTGATCCAGTACGGTCAGTGGGTGCCAGGCTCCAAGATGGAAGAAAAGGGCACTGTAGAGCCAGACCCCAGGACACATGAGAGGTGGGGAAAGTTCTCACCTCTAGAAAGCATCTTCCTTGGGACCTTTTCTTTGTTTTTGTCCTTGTCTTCCTTTTCAGAGACATCCTTTGTGGATTTTTCTTCCTCCTTGTCAGAGGGGCAGCTGATGTGCAACTGAATTATATCCTTGGATAAGGGGAAGGAGGAACACAATCAAAGGGGAAAGAGGAACACAATCAAAGGGGAAAGGGGATTTTAATTCTCCCACAGGATTTTACTCTCCCTCGAAATCTCAAAAAAGGGAAATCTTGGGTGGCAGAATTCTCTTACAGAAGAGAGTATTTTTTTTTAAAGATTTTATTTGACAGAGAGAGACAAAGCAAGAGAGGGAACACAAGCAGGGGGAGTGGGAGAGGGAGAAGCAGGCTTCCCGTGGAGCAGGGAGCCCGACACGGGGCTCGGTCAGGACCTGAGCCGAAGGCAGATGATTAACGACTGAGCCACCCAGGTGCCCCAAGAAGAGAGTATTTTGTTAATTAAATTGTTTAAGCTTTTGTTCTACCAAAAGGGTAGAAGGCCAAGCCTTTTCTGCCAACAATCACAACCACTATATGGAGAGCTCAAGTTACACTGGCTGTTCTTGGCATAGGAACTGGATGGAAATGGTTCTAACCGCCAGAGGGAAGTGCGGGTGGGAAAACAAGATTCAGCCCTGGGCTCTCCTTGTCTGCATCATCCCGGGTGGTCCAAGTGTGAAGACCTATACTTCATGCTTTCACCCATGCCCTGCTTTACACTTGTTTTGAAGTTCCTTCTACCCTGATTTCCAAGCCTAATGTTGATGCTGTGGTTGTTAGGGTTAGGGTTAGGGTTAGCCAAACTCAAAAGTTATACTACTCTGATAAAGGACCTACCTGGGTTTCTAGTGACCCATCAGCAAATGGGGCAGAGGACTCCTCACACACTGCCAGGCTGCGCACCAACTTCAGCTTGGAATTAGACTGAAAAAAAAAAAAAAAGCACAAATATATACATTCCCTTGGTGGACATTCAGAAAGCTGCTTTTCGCTGAATGAAGGGTATCCTCTTTGGCTCTGTTAGTTGCTGCTTCCATTAAGTAGGGTTTTTGTGTTCTTTTTTTTCCCCCAAAGAGGACTTACTCACCAGTTCCTGATTTACTTCAAAGATAATTTCCCTACTTACATTAGTAAAGATAAAAACAAAATGGCTACTTTGAACAGATGACAGGAAAACCACTTCATTTAGCTCCTCCCCCTTTCTCTAGCCCATGTTCCAATTGCAGACCCAGAAGTTTACTGAAAATTCACAGTTGCAGAGCTTAGTAGACACTGGATTTAAGAGCCAGAAGTCCTAGCTTCAACTCCTGCTTTTATGCTCATGAGCTATGGGAGACCGTGAGCAAATTACCTGACCTCTCTGGGTCTCTGTTTTTCCTCAATAAAATGGGGACAAAAACACTTATAGGATGACTTGTGACAATTAGGTGACATAAAGAATATAAACATACATATCATAAATAGTGCCTAGAGCACAGTAGACAATAAATGCTAAATGACTCTAAACCTGAGGTGGCAAGAGTATGGAAAGAAGTGTCTAAGAAAAGAGTAAAGAGAAAGAAAACTTCCTAACATTTGGGATTTAATGTGATAAGAAGCTAATACACTTGGTTTACTTTTGCTGGCTGCAGAATACCAAAAAAATCTGAAATCCACTTTGTAAATCATTGCTCTCCTAGGGATCCCCAAAGCCAAAAATTATAGAAATCTACCTATAAACATTTACTAAGAGTTCTTATAATAAAATCAAGATTTGCTGTGAATACAACAGCATAAAACATGGCATGTGTTCCTGGTTGGGCAGTATAGTATAAGAACTCGCAAGTCTGAAGAACCGACTTCCTGTGGAGCCCTGCCACTTACTAGTGAATATCATGTCAAGTTCACTCCGTCTCTATAAACCCAAGTTTCCTCATCTGTAAAATGGACACAATAACTGCCTATTATCTCAAAAAGTTTGGGTGGAAGTGAAATAGAAGTGAACACCCTCTGTTGTGAACTTTAACATCAAGCCCATCACCGAGGATTAGGCCATGTCAGGCAAGACACAGAGTCAATTTATCTGATGTTGTGGTCTTCTTCAAACCCAGGCCATATACTGGCTGAGCCACCCCCAAATTCTGCCATTGTCTTTTGGGGGGAATGGGGTAGACCTCCTTAATAATTACTCTGGTGACAACTGTTCTCACTGCAAGAAAGGCTTAATATTTTACTGTTCCCCCAACTAAAATTAAAAAACCATCACACACTAACACATATAGTCCTCCCTGATAACACTGCTTAAAATAATCTGTGATGTGCTAATTTTATCATAAAATGATTAAAAACAAAATCCTCCTCCTCCTCCCTGCCTCTAAAAAGTAACCCCACCACCACCAAAAAAGGCTTTATTTTTAGGATGTCCAAAAGTGTTGAGTCATTTCTACTAATGGGGCAGGATTTATAAAGGATAAATGAGAAAAAAATGTTGGAGGAAAAGAAAACACTCATATAGTACTCCTAGAGAAACCAGAAGTGAACAGAGAATCGGGCTTTACAGCAGAACCAGTACCAATTTGCTCAGGCTTTGTGAGAGGCTCTGGCTGGGTATCAGAAATAGACTGTGACTGAACTAGAAATAGTAGAGAAAAATACAACCAAACCTTCTAATAGGAAATGTGTGCGTGTGCATACATTCACAATGAGAGCATAAAGGGCAGGCAGATTATATACAAACTCTGCTTGTATATAATCCAAATAAATTAGATATTAGTGATAAGTCCATTTGTGAAACACATTACTAATAACAGTAGAAAAGAAGGTATAGTAGTCCCCCCTTATCCCCCGGGATACTTTCCAGGACCCCCAGCAGATGCCCTGCCTTAAACTATGGATAGTACCAAACCCTATATGTACTGTTTTTTCCTATACACACATACATAAGATAAAGTTTAATTTATAAATTAAGCACAGTAGGAGATTAACAACAATAAAATAGAACAGTTAATAATACTGTAATAAAACTTATATAAATGTGGTCTCTCTCTCTCAAAATATCTTAATGCACTGTACTCCCTTTTCTTCTTGGGATGATGTGAGATGATTAAATGCCTACGTGATGAGGTGAAGTGAGGTGAACGATGTAGGCACTGTGAAGCAGCGTTAGGCTACTACTGACCTGACGATATGTCAAAAGGAGGATCATCCGCTCCTGGACTGTGGCTGACTAGGAGTAAGTGAAACCATGGAAAGCGAAACCTCAGATAAGTGTGGGGGACTACTGTGTATAGAAAGGGCTCTCACCTTGGCTCTTTTCCTGGCATGACCATGGTTGGATGTCCGCCTCTGTCAGAAGGGGATTAGAAAATATTAAAGGTGTAGAAAATCAACATTTAGGTTAAAAACAATACAAGTTTACAAAGAAAAAACACTAACTGTAAAACCATTACAATAGATAAACTATGATGAGACCCACTTGGTGTGGTTGTCTCCCCTTTGCTACAACTCTAGTAACTGTGACACAGAAGGGACCACAGGCCACCTACATACAAATCACCACTTACTGTGAAGAAAATGAATAGGAAGACACTAACTGGTTGGCCTACTTCATAGGTTAATAAAAATTACTTTTGGATAGACCATGGAATCCTCTCCTGATTAGGTGGTTTCTGGAAATGTCACTACCATAGCATGACAGAGTGTTTTTACCCAAGCATGACCACAGGAGCCTATTTAACCCATAATGTACATGCAATATGGCCCTTAATCATCACTTATATTAACATCTTTATAGGATAACATGTTCAGAGTTCTAACTTGAGAGACCCAAAGCACCTGTCCCTGTGGCTGCTGGTATGGAATGAAGACTCTTCTTGCCAAATGCCTCCTTCCCTGAAGATGAGAATTCTCCCACTTCTAAGCTCCTGGTGGTGGCTCTTATAGCCTGTCTGGGACAGGATAAAAATAAGGGAGCGTGGAAGATATGGACCAGACTTCCACAGCGAGGGGAGGGTAAAAAGAGAGGGTAAGGAGCAGAATAGAAGCTGAAGAAGATGAAGAATGAAGGCCTGTGGTAAGATAAGGGAAGAAACAACTAATTCACTGATAGGATTTCTGAACAGCTGAGAAGTCAAAATGGGGGCTTTGGGGAAGAAGTGGTGTAGGGTTTTGTATGGGAGGAAGCACCTGGGGCTTCTCAGATGTCTGGAATGGAACTCACTGCCCACTCAGGTGGGGAGAGATCTGAGGTTGGTGGGTGGGGAAGGGGAAACAAGACAGAAACAGAGTACCAGCATGGTCCTGAGTAGGTGAGGATTTCTCTTTCCTTTGTCCTCTTCACTAGTTACCAAACACCACCACCACAATGCAAAATGGAGAACTGGGAAGGTGGATAAGAGTGAGAAATGACGATGGATCTGGTCAATCAATGTAAGAGATGTTAGAGTAAGGAAGAGCCATAGTCTGGGAATATGAAACAGTATTTGTCACTGTTTTTTCAAAAAGGTAGTAACATACACAGAACACAAACATTCAGGAGGTGTAATGGGGGTACATACAACACAAAGTCTCCTTTCATATCTGTCCCCCAGTTACCTGGTTCTCTCCTAGAGGATCAGGTAGTACTGACTTTCTTATAATCTTTCCATAGATCTTTTATGAATATATATAAGCTTATTGTACATATGTACATTCAGGGTTTTTTTTTTTTTTTTTTTTTTAAAAAAACCAAACAGATGGGGGTGCCTGGGTGGCTCAGTCAGTTAAGCATCTGCCTTCGGTTCAGGTCATGATCTCAGTATCCTGGGATCGAGCCCCAGGTCGGGCTCTCTGCTCAGTGGAGAGTCTGCTCCTCCCCTCTGCTTGTGCTCTCTCTCTCTCAAATAAATAAATAAATCTTAAAAAAAAAAAAAAGTAAGACATATATTGTACACACCCTGCCTTTAAACTTTTTTTCATGGATATTATTCTACAGAAGATCTACCATTTTTCTTAATGTCTAATATGGTATTCTACTCTGGCTGTACTATCATTTATTTTACCAGTCCCTTAAACTCTATCATTTAGGATGTATCTGATCTTTTGTTAGTATAAACAATGCCTCAATGACCATATCATTAAGTATATCTACAAATACAGTTTATCTGTAGTCCATTAAAAATTTTTTAAATTTAATTTTTAATAAATTATTGCCAAATTGCCCTTCAAAGAGGTTACACCAATTTATAGCCCTACAAGCAATTTATGAATCTGCTTATTTCCCAGAATGGATAGTTTTCATGTAATAGTCAAACACATACTGAAAGTCTAATATGTACCAGGCACCATGCTAACTACTGGAGAATACAGAGATTAAAAAACACCTTGTCCAAAAGGGACTCATAATCCTGTTGGAGAAGACAGACAAATAGACAACTACAATACAGTATGTTAAGTGCATTACAGAAGTAGCCATGCAGTGCTACAGGAGCACACAGCACAAGTGTCTAACCCAGACCAGCAACTCACAAACTCATACATTCACAGATACTGAGTGCCTGCAAAGAACTGCGTCGGGCTTTCGAGATACAATGGTGAGCCCAAACTGACCTAAATCCTGGGCCTCACTGAGCTTATAATTCTGTGGAGACAGAGACAGACATTACTCAAAGAACTATACAGGGTAGACCTGCAATGGGTAAGTAAGGTTGTCAAGGAAGGCTTCCTAGAGAAAGACACATCTGAACTGAGTTTTGAAGGATGAACAGGTATCAGGCAGATGTTGACAAGGGAGGTTCAGGGGTTGGGGGAAGCCAAGGAAAGAATACCAAGGAAGGCACTCTAGGCAGAGAAAGCATGTACAAAAGCATGCTTTCTCCAAACTTTTCAGCTCTTATTTGTAACAAGGACCAAGGAATCAGATAATGCTGAAGCACAGGATGCCAGAGGCGGATGACTGGCAGGCAAGGGACTAGGTCACAATATGTCATGCTGACAAATTTGGGTCTTAGCCTAGGACAATGGAGACACATAGCAAGTTTGAAGAGAATGAATGTAATCAGATCTTTATTTCATGGCCATATTTCTAAAGCAGTATGGAAGATGAATCCAAAAGGATCACAAGTTTAAAGGCAGAAAGCCCAGCTAGGAGGTCATACCCAACTGGTATGGGTTGGTTGAAGGACCCCCCCCCCAAGTTCAGTAGGTCAGGGTTAATTTGCCCATTCTAAACTGAATCTCAGAACCTGCCTTTTATAGTACTGTTTCCATGTGAAAGATGTTCTGAGTTCTAATTGCTGATTCTAAGAATATGTCTCACATAGTGTAAGTAAGGAAAGTCCCCTTTCTGCAAACTTTCCAGCTCCAATTCATAACAAGCCCTCCCTTGACCGCATCAGTAAGATCCCCAGGGAGACTTCCAGGGTATGGGTTGAGGGGGGGGGAAGGTAGGAGAAAGAGCAGAATGTTTAGTGTTGTTGAAGGGGCACATGATCTGTGGAGCGGAGAGGGCTTCTGAAGGGTGGGACACTACTAAAGACTTTGTAGAAGGAGCAGGAGCTCCAGTAGATGGCAGCAGCAGCTTCCCCTGCTCTAGAAGCTGCAAAAAGTCAGAGGCAGACTCCCCTTCCAATCTCCCACATGACCTATTTGTATATACAGGTGAAGACACTCTAGAACTGAGTGTCCGTAAGGTGTATAACACCTATATACAGCCTGTCTTTTCTCCTTATCTTCAAGGAGTACACACCCAACAGGAGTTTAGAACACCACTTCAAATAGTCTCCTGAGAACAACTTGGACCCAAAAGTTCATTTAATTATCATCTTCCATATAACATGACAGCACATAATTAAACATTCATCACTTAATCTGTCCTGAGGATTTAAAATTCATTATTGGTATCAGTCGAGGCTGAAGTATAGCTGGAACAGTGGCAGACTGTCTCTACAAACTCTAGAAGGAGGGGCGAGGAATGACAACTCACATGCAAAGGATAACGGAAAGAAAAGCAGGCAGTACAGAGATCTGGCAAACTGTAAGAGGAAAGACAGTAGAAAAGCAGGCAGCCAGAGAACAAAATATTTCAGAGAGCTGTCTGATTTTAATTTGTCCCTTTATGTTGTTGCTGTTTTAATCTTTTAAGAAGAAAAGGCCTAGATGAATTGGGCTGTCAGGAGAAATGATGCTTCAACTTTCTAAACCGTCAAAAATGTTGCCGCTGGGGCACCTGGGTGGCTCAGTCGTTAAGTGTCTGCCTTCGGCTCAGGTCATGATCCCGGGGTCCTGGGATTGAGCCCCGCATCAGGCTCCCTGCTCTGTGGGAAGCCTGCTTCTCCCTCTCCCACTCCCCCTGCTTGTGTTCCCTCTCTGGCTGTGTCTCTCTCTGTCAAATAAATAAATAAAATCTTAAAAAAAGGGCGCCTGGGTGGCTCAGTTGGTTAAGCGACTGCCTTCGGCTCAGATCATGATCCTGGAGTCCCGGGATCGAGTCCCGCATCGGGCTCCCTGCTCAGCGGGGAGTCTGCTTCTCCCTCTGACCCTCTTCCCTCTCGTGCTCTCTATCTCTCATTCTCTCTCTCTCAAATAAATAAACAAAAATTAAAAAAAAAAAAATCTTAAAAAAAAAATGCTGCTGCCACTGCTTTTTAAACTAACTTACTATGGTTAGTCTATCTCCTAAGCATGGAAGAATGACCAGTCTAACCCTTGGGCATGAAGGAAAGGATTTACATAATTTGGGTCTGGGTAACAGAAGACACTAGCAGTGACCACAGAGAAGAGAGGGACTGGAACAGGTAAACCAGAGGAGGTTCAGAGTGTGAGCTGCCTGGGTACCAAAGAGGAGCTCTGGAGGAAGCTCACCTGGCCACCTACTGCCATCAAATCTGCACTGCACTATGAATTTGGATGGAAAACAACATGGCAACCAAAGAGTGAAATTCCTCTCACTCACTTACCAAGTGGCAAATTCAGAGATTATTTCTGACCCAGAAAATGCTGACTGCTTTAACACAACCACGATATGAATTTAACACCGTGTGTAAAGCCAGGCAGCTGAAGTTTTAAGAATTTATTGTATGAGCCATATTATGACTTGTTAAATATGTGTTTGTATACAATTCATTTTTTGATAGTTAAAAAATATCAAATGTAGCAAGGTCCAAATGGATTAGGAAATTACTATCTTCTCTAGACTTCACTAGGGACTCTACGACAAAAAGGGAAGGAGATAGTTCTTGAAAGCTGAAAACTGGGCTTTTAGGGAGAATCAAGTGACTGGCTTCTTACAGATTCCCAATGCCAATTACGATGACATTTCTATTCAGGTATAATGAGTGTGCATATGATGCACTTCTAATCCTTACCTGTGTCTCCTGACGCAAACCAGTATCTTCGCTCTCTTTCTCAGTTTCTTCCTTACTTGGAGTCTTAGATATAAACTTGTTTTTATTTACCGATTCTTCCACCAGTTTTTTTTCTGATTCTTTCATTATTTCCAGGGTCTCTTGAGTAGTGTTACTGTTAGACATCTTCTTCAAAATAATACAGTAGCCTCTATGGACTCCTAAAGAAAACATCAAATGCATTAAACAGGAGTTTATTTATCCATACTTCACATACACACAAGATTTGCATTTCACATACTAGTCTGCAGCAGCCACCCTGTAACGTACAGAAGAGTCCTTGGATAAATGCTGACCCAGGATTGACTGACTGACTGATTGACTGATTTCTTTTTTTTTTAAAGCTTTATTGAGGTAGTGGCCCCTGGCTGGCTCAGTCAGTGGAGTGTGCGACTCTTGATCTTGGGGTTGTAAGTTCAAGCCCCATGTTAGATGTAGAGATTACTTAAAAATAAAATCTTTTTAAAAAAACAAAAAAATTATAGGGGTGCCTGGGTGGCTCAGTTGTTGAGCGTCTGCCTTCGGCTCAGGTCATGATCCCAGTATCCTGGGACAGAGCCCTCATCGGGCTCCCTGCTCCTCGGTAAGCCTGCTTCTCCCTCTCCCACTCCCCCTGCTTGTGTTCCCTCTCTGTGTCTCTCTGTTAAATAAAGAAATAAAATCTTTAAAAAAATAATAAACGCTTTATTGAGGTAAAGCTGACATACAATAAATTGCATATATTTAAAATGTACAAATTTGATGAATTATGAAACATGCACACATCTGTGAAACCATCATCACAAGATAGTGAGCACATTCATCACCCCAAAAGTTTCCTCCTGCTCCTTTGTAAGCCCTTCCTCCCCTCTCCACCATCCCAACCTACCACTGATTTGCTTTCTGTCACTACGGATTAGTTCGCATTCGCTAGCATTTTACATCATACATATCTGGATTCTTGGTAATTATTTTGAGATTCACCAGGATCCAGTTCTAAAGCAAGGTAGTATGAGTCCTCTTAGCACTTTATTTGCCCTCCCTCATTTCCTACAGAAATTTGCTTACATTTTCAGTGTGAGCACCAGACTTTCTCCAGAAAGAAGTAAAGTATCTTATAAAGCTCTATTCACCACCAGAGAGGACCACTCTCCTTTCCCAAGGGAGAACTTCCACAGCTACCACAAACCACAACAATGTTACCAACTTTAAGTGTCTCCCCCATCAAAAGGCAACAAAATCAGATGATGGTTATAGACTCTTAAATTCTTTCCTTTATCTTAAGCAATGAAGAAGTAAGAGAACTCGGCATTCAGCTATCCTTCAGAAAGACTGGGTCTCTCCCTGAAGGAAAAGAGAATCTTTGCTTTGTTATTCACTATTTAGGTTCAATCACTCTACTGCCTCCCAATGATGCAGAACTTCTGTACTCCAGGGGTAGCCAGCTCTTTATCACTTACTCTGGATACCTGGAAAATCCTGTAATGAAGTGAACACAGTACTCCAAGCACACACTCAGAAGCAGAAGTTTGTAGAGGTTTTCCTTCCATAGATTACAGACTGTCCTTCAATCCTGAATACTTCTCTTTCCCTCCTTTACAAAGATAAGACTAGAAACCCTCCCAGACATCATATTTATTTCATGTGGCCCTAGAAACTGAGCCAAATGAACAAATAACAATGATTCAAGAAAACTGTCACACCAGCCATTTTTTCCTCCTTCAAATCAGTTTAAACTATAAGACCCTGAACGCTCCTTAAGAAGCACAGGTAATCTCATCCTAGCATAAATTAGTCTATAAGATTACTGCTTTGTTCACCTGGTGGTGACTTGTGCAGCTGCCTAGACACTTAGTTTGCATAGGGCTAGATAAAGGCCCTTTAAAAGACCAGAGAGTCATTCATATAATCATAATCATACACTTGAATTTAAGATGACAAATACTGGAAGAAACTGACTACACAAGAAAATGGCCAATATTCTGTTTTTTAATTAACTGTATCTAGTACCTAGAGGATTCTATAAAAGAGTTATAACCTATGGACCTTATGGATCTTTGGCTGTACATGGAGACTGCATATACACATATATTTATTTTTTCTCCCATAGGTAAATCAAGCACCCATTCTCTTCAGTTTGAAGTGTAATAAAACTCAGCACATGCCTTTTCCATATCTCTTAGCTGGGAAACATCAATAGAGATCAGAATTGTAAGGGTTCTTAAGTACGCCTTCATGCAATCCCACCTTCCTCCGCCACCATCTCCCCACATCAAAACTCCATTCTGGAACTTCCTCAGAGGGGCCTGCAAGCCTCTCCTAGAAAACTCCTGGCAAGGGATCATCCCACTACTTTTTAAATAGTCTTATTACTACAGAGTTGCTCCCTATAATAAGCTATGTACTGTTTCAATCTTGATGCTAAATCTGCTGTTGAGTCACACAAAATTAAGTTTACGTCTTTTACCACATAATAGACCTTCAGTATTTTTCTTTTTCAGGCTTAAATACCCTCAAACAAATTTCTCTGTCAGAAAGAGAATGTGAGGGCTGCCAAATGGGGAAATTGGATGAAGATGGTCAAAAAGGTACCAGCTTCGAGTTAGAAGACAAATAAGTACTGGGGTTGCAATGTACAACATGATGACTATACTTAATGCTGCTGTATGGTATATTTGAAAGTTGCTAAGAGAGTAGATCCTAAAAGTTCTCATCCCAAGGAGAAAACTTTTTTGTAGCTATATAAGGAGATGAATGTTAACTAAACTTATTGTGGTAATCATTTCCTTTTTTAAGATTTTATTTATTTATTTATTTATTTACTTACTTACTTACTTACTTGCTTACTTACTTATTTGTCAGAGCAAGAGACAGAGAAATAGAGAACACAAGCAGGGGGAGCATCAGGCAGAGGGAGAAAGAAGCAGGCTCCCCGCTGAGCAGAGAGCCCGATGCGGGACCCGATCACAGGTACCTAGGATCATGACCTGAGCTGAAGGCAGACGCTTAACTGACTGAGTCACCCAGGCGTCCCTGTGGTAATCATTCTCAGTATATATGTATGTCAAGTCATTATGTAGTACACCTTAAACTTACACAGAGCTATATATTAATTATATCTCAATTAAAAAAAGGGAAAAATAAAAAAAATTTTAAAAAAGGGGAAGGTGATACGGAAAAATATAAAGCATCTGGGTGTTTCTTTTTCCAGGTCTGCATTACCAAACAGATATATTTCTTCAAATCAGAATGACAACTTTGCAGCTCCTTTTCACACATAAGTCAGAAAAGGCTCAACTATCTGGATATCTAGACTAATTTCACAGTGTCTAAACACTGTTTCTCAGCCAAAGCACTAAGGGAAAAATTAAACAAAAAAAGGTCTTTCATAACAGCCACCTGTGGAATATGGTCACATATTCCAACTGCAGTTTTAAGGAGCTACATGGTTTCCTTCATTCACTGAGAAACAGAAAAACTTGAGTTTTAGATTCTTAAAAACCCTCAGGAAACAGACAGCAATTAATGATGCATCCACTTTTAAGAAATTTGACAGGCATTTCCACTGAGAGACTACCAGTCTCTTAAAGGCTGTGTAAAATAAAGTAATTCTTACTCCAAGGAAAACACAATAGCAGAAGAAAAGGTACTCTAGCACACTACCCAAATCTCCCCTTTCTTCCACACATAACAATCTAGCCCAGATTTTCTTTTGGTGTTTGCCTTCATCTAAGGACACATGATCAGGGAAAGTGACCCTATTCCTGAGTCCTAGAAGGTGGATCCTAATTAGCTAGATCAATCATGGTAATTCTCTTTCCTTTTTGTGACTGATTTAGGAAGGGACAAACGACTCAATCATCACCAGTGAAATATGAGAGGACTTTGTGACGTGAATAGCTTCAAAGAAAGGGTATTCACTCTGTTAAAAAAAAAAATGTGGGGTGCCTGGGTGGCTCAGTCATTAAGCGTCTGCCTTCAGCTCAGGTCATGATCCCAGGGTCCTGGGATCGAGCCCTACTCCGGGCTCCCTGATCGGCTGGGAGCCTGCTTCTCCCTTTCCTGCTCCCCATGCTTGTGTTCCCTCTCTAACTGTCTCTCTCTGTCAAATAAATAAATAAAATCTTAAAAAAAAAAAAAGCCACTAGAAAAAAAATGGTTGTTATCTTTTCCTGAAGGTAGTCTTGTGTACAGATGATGCCTGGATTGCAATATTCTATCAACTCATGGAGGATGGTGGAGCAGAGAAAATAAGCCTGGATCCCTGATGCTTGCTATGAGGCGGACTGAATTAGTCAACCTGGATCCTCCTAGCTCTGTACCTCTTGTTATGTGAGGTCATAAATCCTATTATCATTTAAGCTATTTTGAGTTTACTGTTCCTTCTAGCCAAAAGCATCCTGAGATAATCAGAAAGGGTATGTGAAGAGAGGGACTATCTGGACCAGACAGACAAGCCTAGCTTTAGAAGTAGAAATAACTGACAGAGAGCGAGATGGTATTAGCTAAAATTTCTGGAGTGCTTACACTGTGTCAGGCACTATCCTAAAGTGTTTTATGTATCTCATTTAATCTTACATCAATCCTATTAGATATATATTTTATTATAATCACTATTTTATAGATAAGTAAGCTGGGGTACAGAGCAATTACATAATTTCAGGTCATACACCTGGTACATGGCAGAGCAGGACTTAAAGCCAGGAAATATGGCTCTAGCACTTGCTTTATTAACCTTTATGCAATACTTCCACTCATTAAGGGGACAGATGTTCAAAGACTGGGCAGAAAATGGAAAGTCTACCAAAGATATAAAGGAATCATGGAATTCATAATTGGAAGGGGACTCAGAAGCTTTCTCATTTAGCTTCATCCTTCTATATCCATAATCCTCCTCAATCAGGTTCTTGAATCATCAATAACTCTGAAAAATGACTGTCCTGACCCTGTTTGTATACATCTAGTGAAGGGAAGTCTTCTCCTCCATATTACAAACCTTTTTTTCAGGGGAAATTATAAAGAGGTGATACCTTCTGGTTACTTCCTGACACTGGCCCCAGTTCAGTTCTCTGCGTAAGTCATAAAGAATAAGCTTAATCTCCCTTCCATGTCAGCCCCTTACAGGAGACAACTTTGTCTTACTTCTTTCTCTAAACACTCCCAGCTTCCTAAGTCAGGTCTT